GTTTGTTGAGTAAATTCCTGTCTCTCAAAAGTTGAGGCTATGGCTTTTATTCACTGATGCCACTGTGATTTGGGTGAAGTGATCCACAAAAGGTAGTCCAACCATCTTTTTCAGAGTACCTTTTTTATGGTAATATAAAGAATGAAAGGAATAAGCTTTACTGCTTTTGTCTGCTGATGATCTGTCAAGCAAGTGTTCCACATCCTTAGTCCTTCCCTGCCCACCTATTTCAGTGGAGCATCTTTCCCAGGAGAAAGCCACAAGGACAGTTCTCGTGTCTTATCGGGGCAGGCACAGGGGACAATCCTTACACACGACATCTGCACAGGGGCTGGGGTGAGCCCTGATCTCTCCCCAAACCAGCTTTTTGTCTATCTCAGTCTGACTAGCAGAGTCAGCACTTTAGGAGTGCCTACGTAATAGTTATATTGGTCTGATCCTCGAGGCTATGTCCGCGAGATTAATCCACCTACTTAAATCTGACACAAGTTGATGGTGACAGGTCTTTGTGACAAAAAACATTAAGTGACTATCCTCATGTTGTTTGACATATGAGAATCTCTTTAATATGTTGCTGTTGCAAACACAGATATCATACCTGTGTCCATGATGGTGCAGCCACAGTCCTGCTTTCCTTTCCAGGTAAATGGGGGATAAGTCCTCTGCACAGACTGGATGAGAGCCTGAGTCCCTTGGCTATTCTTTGCTGGGCTGTAACTGATCTGTATAGAACTGCAGGGAGAAATTAGTGCAGGAGACTTTCCTCCTCCTTCCTGTGAATGTTCCAGCCCAATGACAGTGAAATGCTATCTTTAGGCTTTCTGCAAGCCCTGATTTAATGCTCAAGGTCATTTCCTTTGCTCACCTAAGGTAAAAAACCCTCCAAAACCCACCCTCTACTCATTTCCCAAAATGATTGAAAGTTCTTAAACCTACCCAAAATAAAGCTGGTCATGAGTACAGAGCTGAATGACGGAAAGGGTTATCCAGCCAGACCTCATTCCCAGTATGTTTGCTGACAAGTTGTAGTTCTTGAATGGTCTGAACTGCAGGTCTCCAGGATACTTTGCTTTCAGCACAGCAGTAGAGCAGGACCTGGAGACTGTTTTAGAACCATCATCATGCCTCATTATGATTGCACTCCAGTGTGAAAAGTAATATATGTGATGTCAGGGAGTTTCTATGCTTTGTGCTGCCAGAGAAGCCAGTGGATGTGGGAATCCAGAGCCCTTGAGAACTGGCCACAACACACAAAGTGACATCCCCATGTCAGTTCCCTGCCAAAGCTTCTTCTGGCTGTTGCAGGTCGGATGCCAGTGCAATCAGACCTAAAATGGAATTGAAACTTTAAATAATGATAGCCTCAATTTAACATGGTTCTTAAGTATTTTCATAACTTTAGCACATCAGTTAATATGATGGAACTTTAAGTTTAGTGATCTATATACACAGCAAGAGATTTTAAGTCTTATTTTACCTGGAAAATTGAACATATTAAATGTGGAGAAGAGATGGATTATTATTGGTAATGGGTCAAGTTGCATCTCCTCCTGATTTTCAAGTGTGTATGTGTGCATATATAATTATAAATTACAAATAAAAATGTCTTGGCTCTAAGTGCTCATATCCTGTGTCAAACTGGATCCTGAATGCATCTCATGACATGGCTGAGGCATGAAAGCATTTCTGGAGATGTTATCTAAGTAACAGTTGTGCTTTCATTTTATTTGCTAGCTACATACACTTTATACACTATCTTTTCTGAGTAGCCATGTAGAGAGGACTGCTAAGTTTACTCCTATCCTTGCTGTAGAATTGCAACTAGCCACATGTATTACCAGTTTCACAACCAATTACTAACCCAATGTCTGTGTTTAGCACAACACAACCCACTGAAATACAACCTCCTTGACTTCTCCAATAAAGAACTGCAAAGAAGAGACCTTTTGTTTCAGAAACTCTGAAGTAGTAACTTTGTTCTGTAGAAGGTGCACTTGACATGATGGTGCCAATTCAGTGGTAACTGGACCTTCAACAGCCTCTTTCCCCTTTAGCTCAAGAGGCATCACTGCAACCCAGTGAGCTGCACTTCTCCAAAGGGACTGAGGATTGCATGCTGGAGACTTTCTCCACCAGCAACGCCCTGACAATGCCTGGTCAGAGCACCATATTAGGCAACAGGCCATGGGGAATGGCATGTGGGGACTCCAGGGAGCATGCCTCCTAGGGAAGGAGCATAACCATAAGCTGCTGGTTGAGTGTGCAGAGCCCTGTCCTGGCTGACAAGCCTGTTGCAGAGGTCAGCCAGGGAGGGCTATCATTCTTTGGGGAGGTGGAAACTACTCAGAGCTATTAATGGTTTTTTCCTGGCTGTCCTCAGGAATGGCACCATAAGCCAGGCATGACCATGAAAGGGGTTGCACATGGCCAAAAGATTATGTTAAAGTGTCTCCCATGTCTGCCACCCTCAGGGGCTGGAACTGTCCCCTTTCCTGTTTTCTTCCCATGTTATACTTCAGGTCTCTCCTTTGAGCTCCATTCTTGCCTCAGTTTTCTTAGCAATAACCTGAACAGCCTTTGAATTATGATTTAGGAAACAAACCACTGACTACTTGGCCTGGCTTCAGTCATTATCCCATCACGGAATTGCAGAATAGTTGAGGCTGGAAAGGACCTTTGGATATGGACCTTTGGAGACAGTCTAGTCCAAGCCCTGTGCTAGGAACAGGGTCCAGTAGAGTAGGTTGCATGTGAGGGTGCTCAGGTTTTGAATGTTTCCTTTTGTTGTCTGCATGCATGAGATGAGGTTTAGACTATAATAACAACAACAACAATAATAATAATAATAATAATAATAATAATAATAATAATAATAATAATGTTGTTGTTTCACATCTAGTCTGTGCCAGGTGAGGTAGGACTTCTGAGATGTGTGATTGCAGAGCAGTATGACACCACAGAGTGTTAGTGAAGCCAGGGAATACCTCTCAAAATAAAAGGAAAATTCAAGGCAAGTCATTCAAAAGTCTCATGAGCCCTTTATCCGAGAGTGGAAAGTGTTTTATTTGTTAAGATTTTAATTATAAATTTGTAACTCTTACTGGTGAGCCAGGGAGGATTTTCTAATCAGATATTCATAAGAATACTCCCTGTTTCTACCTATTACCTATTTCTACCTATTTCATGAGGAAAATTATACAATCAATAGTTTTCTGCTATTACTTTTCTATGCAAGAAACATACTTCCATGCCACAACAATGTCTCAGTGGAATATTTTACTCTCAGTGGAAACAGTGAAAAATGTCATGGTAGCAAAGCAAATAGGTTCCAAGACATACTCTTTGTGGTGCAATTTTCATGCTTTAATATGAAAAAAATCTCATATTTTTCTAGGCCACAAAACAAAACCTAGTGCATCAGTAATTAGACCAGAAAAAATAAATTGCTATGAACCTGAGTAAAGATATTTCATTGTTTTCACACTCTATGTGTTGGTCTTTAATATACTGCCTTCCATTCTGTGTGATGGGTACTGTGATCAGAACATACAACACAAGCTCTTTCCTTGTAGCAAGGAATTCTCTTTGGAACCTCTACAAGGATTTGCTGTTGTACCTGTGTGTGTTGATTGGAAGTTCCTACACCATATCAAATTCACACACTCTCCTTAAAATTATATTTGCACTAAAAAAATATTCCTCCCTTTAAAAAATTAAATGGAGTTATTAAGAACAAGAACTGTGTTTTAGTTATATTTAGAATGGAGTGTAAAGGAATAGCCTTACCAGCATTTCTATGTGACAGAGATTGACATTTTTTTCCTGAATCTGACCTGAGGTGGGGTCCCGCTGGTTAATGTCTGTAACATGACAAAAGTTAGTAAGAGCCATCTACTCTTACAGTTCAGGGTTTCAACCTTTTAAATCTTTGCTTGTTATAAGTAGTCAAACTGTAAGCCAAAAAATATTGCTGTTTTCTACCTGTCCTAAAGCTTTTAAATGTTGAAAATAAGCTTCTGTTTCTGTTTTAAAAATATATTTTAGCTAGCCAATTTGTTCTTATGCTTTTAGATGGGAGAACATGTCATCACCAAAGGATAACATTTAAATAGGATAAAAAACCTGATTTCTGTATCACACATTGGAAAGGAAAGTGATTTACCTTAAAAATCATCACTGAAAGAAAGAAAATCCAAACATACTGCACGTCCTACTCAGAGCAGCTTAACTGTTTGGTTTTTTTACTTTCTGTTTGCACTGAACATTGAACTTTAGATCTAATGGTGTGGTGAAAAAGAGATGAAGGTGTCTGGATTCACTCTGCACGATCCCCCTAATTTAATGGATCCATTACACTTCACAGTTAACTGATATAATTTCAGTTGGTGGGAATTTTGTTTAATTTTGCACATGAGTGAGAGACCTTATCACTCTCTAAAACTACCTGAAAAGAAGTTGTGGACAGATAGAGGTCAGTCTCTTCTCCCAAGTAAGAAGTGATAGCACAAGAGGAAGTGCCTCAAATTGCACCAGGGGAGGTTGAGATGGGATATTGGGAAAAATTTCATCACTGGAATGGTTGTTGAGCACTGGAACAGGCTGCCTAGACAACTGTGCTCAGTACATCCCTGGAGGAATTTAAAGATGTGTAGATGTGGTTTTTGGGGATGTGGTTTAGTGGTGACTTGGCAGTGCTGGGTTAGTGGCTGGACTTAATGATGTTAAAGATCTTTTCCAACCTAAAAGATTCTACATTTCTATTAATACTATCTATCTCCACACTAACCAATTTCACTAGCTTCTCTTTGCAGAACAAGAGCTTTAGATCTCTGACCTTGTCACTCCAAAGTTGTCACACGTTGGGTGCGTGAAAGCAAAATAAATTTCACAACTGCATTTAAATATTAAAGAACTCAAAGTCAACAAATGTATACCAAATGCATGAAAAATATTTGCTTGTATTTGAAGCTCAATATCTGTCTTCTTTCCTCATTTTTCAGAAACCGAAAATGAAAGTGCACCGCCACCTCCAGGTTAGTGTAAAAAATGCTAATTTGAGCTGTGGCACTAGCAACAGTTGCATGAGACTAGATACCGCACAGCTGTAATATGGTTTGTGTTCATTGTCTTTTTGAAAGTAAGAGGACTGTAAGAAAAGTAAAAAAAACCTGCCCAAGTAAGATATCCTCATGTCACTTTGCCTGAATACTAGTTTTTCAGACTCAATTTTTTTTTTGTGAGTGACTAGTTGTTTACTTAATACTGCACATGTCCTTCAGGTTAAAGGTAAATTATGGCTGCTTAAATTATGTGGTTAAATTATGCTGTCCTCTTTGATGCTGGGCAGCATCTAATTACCAAAACACTCTCTTTCGTTTTACCTTAAAGGTACACTGTGAGTAAAGCTGGCAGAACCAAGCATGGGATTCATTTGATTTACTTTCAGCCCTTTGAAAATTATGTATCCTGTCTAAGTAGTTCAACAGCTCCATGTGTGACCAGTGGAGCACATCCTGGGTCACACATGCTCATCCAATGGGCATTTCCCAGGAAACCTATCTAAAATGTCACTAGATGTCCCCGGGCAGGCAATTGCCCTGAGGAGTCTGATGGATTGTCTAGAACAGAGTGGCTGAGTTCCAGGAAGCCAAAGTCAGGAGAGGTGAAACTCATCCATGAGGGCTTCAGGTAAAGGTGAAGCTCTGCAAAGAACAGGAGTTCTCTTCAGTGGGACTTGGAAAAGCAGGCAAGCGTTTGCCCTGTGCCATTGAGCAACTTCAGTTATATTCTCAGATAATACATATATCTACAGTATGTATGCCTAATTTAACCATTTGGTAGGTTTTATTCTCTGTATAGCAACCTGAACAGCAGTTCCAAACAGAATAAATACCCTACAATCTGCCTTTACTTACTGTCTTGCTAGCTGGCATTTTACAGGGCTGATTCAAGATGTCTTTGTTTCAACAATACACTCTTTGATTAACAAATGACAAAGCTATCATTTGCCACAAGGAGTTTCACGGTTAAATTATCCACATATTATTTTTATGTGATGAACTCTTTCATATTTCATATATTTGTAAGGAAAGTTAATTGGTTTTTAATTAATGATATTTTACTCAACCATAAAATTTGTACAGTTAATATTAGACTAATTAATTTCACCCTTAGGGTCTTACCTGATATAGTTTGTACTTGAATTCATGTTTTTAATCAGTCTTAACTTTCAAGTAGAACAGAAATGAGAAACAGGTTTTTTTATATGGAGAGGAATAGCATCTTTGAAGCATTACATTAAAAACATCTATTAACATTTCCAAATAATTACCATTTCCTTTCTATTTAAAAACACAGGATAAATGCAAAATCACTTCTATAACCTCCTTTCTTTTCTCCTTACCTGTTTCTCTTCTGAAAAATAAGTAGGGTGTCATTAGGCCTTTATGGTTAAGCACATACCAAACTGGGATATTTCCAAGCTGGAAGTGCCAGTCACTTCTAGCTTCCTTCTACCTGACTCAAGATGCTGTCATCTTGGATTATCAAGTGCTAATACACAAAGAGGGAAGCTGGTTTCAAGATTCCAAATTTTATAACATATAAATATTTTATTGGACATACTCAAGCATCTTGAACTGCACCAGGAAATTTTTGGGAAGTCATTATGAGAGGTCTTTCCAGATCTCAATGTCAAGCCACAAGTGTGGAACACTTTGACTGGTGAAGTTTCAAATAACATGTAGACATGCTGCCATCTGTCACCAACAGTGGAATCTCCTGATCCCAGTTCCTACTGGGAAAAGAAAGTGTTACTGTAGCAAAAGTCCCATTAAAAAGGAACATCTGGCCAAGACAGACAACCTGATAACTGGAGCTTGGGAATTTAGGGAATCCAGACAAAGCATCCGTGAGTCTGTCACACTACCAGAATGTGGAGTTTTCTTTTAAGTTTCAGCTTTAATTTTCATAGTTACTGTGGCTGCACACATGTGAACAAGAAATCAGAATAATCAGAGTATCACTGGCTCTTGCAGTTGTTTTCTCTATGGAACAAAAATTTTCTTAATTCCGTCCTGACAATCTTAGTCTATCGACCATCACCCAAACCCATGTTCTGTCAGGCAGTTGACAGGTAAGTTTGTCACAGAAAGCCATCTCACAGGCAATAGGATAATGGGTGTTTATACCTTGAAGACAGGACACTTCATGTGATAGGACAAGATTCTAGATTGAATTAAATAGGAAACCAAAAACAATAGGAATCTTATCAAATCCTGAGATAGAGTGGAAATTGTTGTTTTGTTCGAAGCACAGTCCAAGTTTTCTTATACAGATAAGGTCAAAAATAATTCACATTTACCTGCTTGGAGTAGAAGACAGGCTGGCAGCTCTGATCAAGAAAAATAAATACAAGTAGTCTCGGCAATGCTATGTTGATAATGGTAAAGATGACGACAAAGAATTAAACAACTTATACAATACACTCTCTCTATACTTTTTCTTTCGGATCAACTGAGTGGCAGTAACTCATGTCTGATCCAATTTCTTTCCCATTAACAGTGATATGTAACCCATTTCAAAGGCTTTTGCGAATTAGCCCGAGAACAAGGGACTAACAACTAAAAACCCAGAATTTTTCTTCCACTGAGTCCAGGAATATCAATCTTACATGACTTGTTCAAAACATAGAAATTGCATTGATATGCACAGGTTGTAAAATGCTTTATGGAATTGCAACTGTATATTACATATACACATATATCAATCATTCTTTGATGTTGTTTTTCCAATACTAGAAGAATTTGCATTTTTTAATGCTGTGTAAGTCTTTTTACTTTAAGATCCTCTCAAAACTATACTTGTACTTCCTACACAGAACAAACAACACCACAGGAGGGTGGAAATGAAAAGGGTAAAGGTAAGTCTGAAACCATACTTTAAAAATGGGCAGTAAAGAAAACATTCCTAAATGCTGTTCTGATGCTGGATTGTTTGAGCTTCAATTCAGAATTTTGGTGCTAAATTTTAGAAGTGTGATGTGAGGCTTCCTAGATCCTATTTCTGCATGACTTAGCCAGCACAAGGAAATTATGATACTCATTAATATCTTCAAAAATTCTTCAAACAAGACTGATACTTTAGCAACAGTATCTTTATTGACTGTTCAATTAGTGGATCAAATTACAAGTGATTTGCATGAGCAGAAGGCTGTGTTTAAATGAGCCTGGATGTTGCCCCTGACCAAGTTTGCTGAAACTCAGATACTGTGAACATTGGTTGCTTTCAAATAAAGTGGACAATGTCCTACTGCCATTCTAAGCTGTTTCTGTTCTACCACAGAAACTTGACGTTTTACCTTTTGGAAAGCCCCATAGATTTTTTCCATCTGAAATTAAAAATCACACATGCATCTTTCTGTCCTCATTGAGAGCCCAGCAGTTGAGCTCTTTATAGGTTCTGAAAAGTGTGTTTGAGGACTTTCTGCTGTGAACAAATAGAGAACTGTTAGCAACCTGTGCAAAAAACAGCTCCAGCTTTAACATATTTTTGTGCTGCTGAGATTAGATTCTATCTCTGTTGTCAATTCTACTGGTTAGGATACATTTTGAGGGAGCAGGGCCAAATTCCCCTGCTTTTTGTAAGAGCCTTGTCAAAATAGAAATCAAACACCCTATCAAGTTATTTTGAAAAGAATAATCTCTTTTTTAAAACTTAGTTCTGATCAAAGACTAAACCAGATTGAGATATGCTTAAAACTGACACAATGCTTGCTTTTCATCTGGCATGATTATGCTTTTTTATGGCAAATCAAGAAATGGCTTGCTTGAAAATGTATTCTGGCTTTTGGTGTCTTCCAAACAAAATCTTGCCTTTTACACAGACTGGATGCATACTTGATACTTGCAGATTTATTTGGCAAAGGCATGCATGGCTATTTTTCTCAGCAGAGTCAAAATATAAACACTAAGAATGTGTGATTCAAGTACCCTTTTGAAAATGAGAATGCTGAACCAGGCTTCAGTGCATGCTATTTTGCCAGTTATCCTTGCATTGAGCAATTATTTTGACACACAAAATTTTGTGTGAATAATCAAATCTGTCAGCTTGGTAATGGAAATGAAATTCAGAAATAATTTGCATGCCTAATGATAGGAAAAAAGATGAAGGTCTTGCCTCAAGCTATTCCAACAGTTAGTTCTGCTTGCTTTAATTTGGATATGAGAGAAATGTTTGTTCCCAAACTGAATATGAATGGTGATTTTTTCACTGCTTACAAGCCTACATTTCACTGAATAAAAACGAAAACATGGTAGGTAACTTATCCAGAACTTCTATTATTTTCTGGAACATTACTATATTTCTGTTTTGAATTTAGCGAAGGATAAGTATTTTCTAGGAGGAAAAATGTTCTTCTTGAGTGAAACCTCTCAGTGCTAGGAGGATTTTACTACCAAAAAGAATTGTTTGAGATCCTACGATGGAAAATCTTCTCGCTTTCAGTCCATGGTGGCAGCTCTTGCCTCTGTAAAATTTCCAATGGAAGTCTGAATATTAATATGTAGATGACCTTCTGCCATGCTCCAGTGAAGTTTTCACCTCTGCAAAGCAAAGTAGATACCATTGCCAGACACTCAGTAGTAATACTTTTCAAAATTAGTTACAGTGCAGTTGTTCCTATCAGCTCTTGTTTTATTGCAGAGTACCACGAAGTAAGGGAAAACATATTTTCATAGAGTGATTCCTTCAGGTTTGTATGCCAGAAAAACAAATTCTTTATATAGGTGAGCATAATTCAAAAAAACGGGAAAAGTTCCATTCATCCAACCTGTCCAAAATAATTTACACTGGAAAATGGACACTTCAGCAAGGAAATTATGACAGAACCAGTTTGATGTTAGCTTTTATATAAGCTATATGTAAAAGACTGCAGCTTCAGAAGTAGCAGATTTGGGTAATTCCCTGAATGGGAACGAGATGGGAAACATTTCGTATCTGAATTCCACAGCAATTATATAAAACTTGTGTGCCAGCAGTTGTGGTCTGTTTGCTGATAATTTATGAGATAGACTGTAGACACTGAAATGGGACTGTGCTGGAACCTGACATCCAGGAAAGAAATCTTGGTAGTCCATGTAAGTGCCATAGTCCATCATTTTCACCTCATCCCTCAGAGAAAAAATTAACAACAGATATTAGGAATATAGAATATACCTATCTGTGTGTCTGTTTTACTGTTCCATTTCTTTTTATTGTCTGTGTGAAATTACATATTTATACTCCTTTGTGTTCACTGTAAAGCTATGAAATGAAAAACAGTGTGGTAAATTCTTTGTATCTCATGGGATTTTTCTCTAAATTAGTAGCTCAGAGCAGTAAATATAAAATTTTCTTTAATAAAATAAGCCAGTTTTAAAATACCTACAATAATGTTGTAAAAGTTCAGAATATATGTGATCATCCATTTTATTTTCAGACAAAAATGTGAATCAGCATAAATTCCTCCAAATTTACTACATTGTCTTATATTCATTCCATTTAAATGCTTGTGACTTCATTTTTAATTTTAGTATTACCTTACAGATTTAATATGTTATAATTTTTTCCCACTTGCTGGAATAATAATCAAATTTTAATGCCAATTTGCTCATTCCTTTTTTTAGGTCCTATCCAGCCATTCAGAGAGCTACTAAAATTTCTGTATATATTACTGATACCTTTCCTCTAGGTTTCTTCCAACCATCTACTAAAACGTTCATTGCATGTGTCATCCTTGTATTTTTCCAAGGTTTCACTTATCCATTCATCTCCCTACTAAAAGTTCCCCTCTGTGGGTGTGTACTTCATTTACCATTTGCAAAGTGCCAAGTCCCCTGGATGGGACTGCTGAGCTCCCTATGAAAATCAGATTGATAACTGAAGTCAACTAAATTTGAAACTCTCAGTCTTTCTGTGCTCCCTAATTTCAGCATAAACAATAGAATAGAAAAATAAAATAATATACAATTAACATGTTTTTGCCACTTTTGCACAACATTAAGTTTGTCAACAATGCGGCTGATGGCAGAATAGCAGCTTCCATTTTGTGTGGGATGTTTCAGATAAGGGGAAAGTAGGTCTAAAATTCTTGATACCAACAGCTCATATATAAATAAGTACTTTTTTTTTTGACTGATTTTTCTATATTTACTGTGCCAGCAGCCAGAAATTTTAATGTTAAGATTACACTAAGTGTGTTTAGATTAGCTTCTTTTGAGGTATGGAGAGTTCTTTCATCCAACATTCAACAAGAATCTAATCCTGATGCAGCTCAGTCTGCTCCACAGTTAATATTATCATTTAGAAACAAGTCATACCCTCGATGTTAATGAGAGTGTGCCACAGACAAAGAATAAAGATTTCTATGGAGTAATTCATCTTATCAGCCTACTGTCAAATTAATCAATTGATTTCCCCATACCAAACTCATTCAACAGGTTGAAAAATATATTACATTAAATGTTTACTTGCAGAAGATAAGGGTAGTGAATTAATGGTCATAGTCCTACAGGCATATCTGGTATTTTTGCTATTTTTGTTATTTTCAAGTAGACTTTCTTGCTAGCATAAACGAGGAATCATTCATCACAGAAACGGAATTGGCTCTAGCTGCTGAAGCAATAGTCAGTCCATTTTGTCCTAGAAGCCTGAGATAGAAGGAGTGATGGATTGATAATTACCCATTTATCAGAATAATTCCTCCAGCATGCACTCTTTTCATACTCTTTCCATTTCTAAAACATTCAATTGAGCTTTCATCTTGAAACTACTGACATGTTTGTTTGTTTCCTTTGTTGGTCTTTGATTTTGTTTAAAAAATGGTAGATTACCCTGGAGAAACCCCAGCAATCCCTCTGCAAAACTAATAAGTTCTTTTTGGGGTTTTTTAGTTTTTCAAATGATTAAATGAAAGAGAAATCTGAGTGGTCCTTTCATCATCGTGTAGGATGCATCACATCAAATGTTTTACGCTGGTCTTAATTATTATTTTCAGCCAAATTGCTCTTTGAGCCATCATCAATCACAATGGTGACATCATTGGCAAAAAGAACTGAAAGTACACTTAATGCTTTCATGAATTATGGAGAAATATTTGCAGTGGAAGCACATAGCCTTGCATCCATTTAGTTGCTAATGCAGTAAGTTAAAACGTCTGACATGACTTAATCATTACTGTGCTTTTACTGAAAATCAACATTTCCAACATCTGCTTATGGCATTGGATGATGCAGGTCATGAGAACTCTTCCATTATTCTTTTTTTTTTTCCTATGAAATAGAATAAGAATGAATATGAAAAGATATTTGCAAGATAACACATTAATCCTTCATGTGTAGGCATACATTTTACAGCTCTTATCCTCCTCCCAGGGGATCTTTAAAATGAAGTTTGATGAATTATTAAAAAGGAATGAGTAAAATGTTATGGCGAAGTAGATAAATTCTATTAACAGATTTAATTAGTCTTCAGTGGTTAAACAAACCCAAAAATTCAGTATTTCCAGTGTTTATGAAAATGCAACTATATGTCATATGTGGTTTTGTCATAGTGATTACATTTTTCCTTGAAAAAATATAGCTAAATTATAATTTTAAGGTCAAAATCAAAGGATAACTTTCAGATTTAAAATTTTATTATGGAAACAGAAATAGAAGATATAAAAAAATTCAACCCCCAAAAAAGTATCTTTAAAGACGTGAGTTGATATTTTTCCAAAGTTGTTCTTGTTTAACTCTGTTCTCATTTTGAAATGTTCTACAGATTATTTTCTGATAATGTATAAAAACATGTAATCTTCATATTACTTATGTATTAAATCCTAAATATCTCTGGTTTATTTTTATCTTTCAAAGGATACCTTGTTTTTTTTCTTTCTTTTTCTACCATTAGGCTTTTAAGACACTAGGACTTTTTGCTTATTTTTATCAAAGCTGATCTCTGAGGTTTTTAGTCAACATCTAAAATTCAAAGAGACTCTTGTATAGATGGTCTTTACCTTATTCTGGTTTTCTAATAATCATGATTACAGTATTTATGTTTAATGCCAGATTCATGGTTTTCTCAGGTTTTTGATTTATATAAATACAAGTCTCAATATACTCTATATGATTAAACATTTTAAAATACCTGGCTACCAATTGCTTGTAGTGATTTAATACCTCATGAAAGCCAACTTTTATGTGATCAAAAGGAAAATCCAGCATGGTGATATTAGTTCTTATTTAAAATTATTCTTCTGTTGATATGAGGAAAAACTGAGTTGTGTATTCCTTGCACTTTAAATTAATATTATAGTATAGAAATTACAAATTACAAATAGAGGCGACTAGTTTTAACTTTTTCATATGTGATGTAATAATGCTGAATGCATATGTGGTGCACATTTTAATTGCAGACGTGGTCATCAGAGAAATGACATCTTCCTCAGGTTAGATATGTGATTCTCCTTCATTTCATTGTGGCTTTCTTATTGTAATTACTGTAGATTACATCTCTAACAAACAGAATCACTCTGCAGCTCTCATATAAACTCATGATTTAATCATAGATCACAGTCCACATCTCATTTTGTTTTTTACTTGCTTGAAACATCAAGGTTTACCATTTCAGCTACTGAATTATGCAAAGCTTTCCTCATCAGTTTGAAGCTCCCATTGTGAATGCTCCTGAATATTGCAATTTATTTCCATTTCTTTTGCAGGTTTTACATTTCATGTAGTTTTTTAAAAGCAGATGATCACCTGTGCTTTCAGTTTCTTCATGTGCTTTTTCATTTGTATTTCTTTTCACAGATGAAGATGACACCTCAGTTAGTACTCCACCAGCAGGTTAGGACTGTGATAGTGCTTTGAGTGTGTATGTATGTATGTATTTTTCTCTTGAATATTAATGAAGAAAGAGTCCAAACTAGCGGACTGAACTCAAAACATATGACTTAGAAAAAATTTTAAAGTGCCCTGTATTTTATTAATTTCTGTTCAGAAGTACAAAACCCTTATATCAGTTAAGTCTCTTTCCAGTTTTATCTTGAGGTCTTTAGTAGATGTCCCAGTGGAAGGTCAAATACTGGTTAGTATATCCAAAAGCAACTCCAGATAAATAAGTATACTGTTTAAATAATCAAAATACTGTCCCTCAGACAAATACTGAAGAACAGATAATCTGTTACCTGGAACTACACAATTCGTGGAAAAAACCATCAGCCTCATGTAACCTTTCTAAAGAAACTCTTGAATGGAATTAAACTAATTTAGATTTTCTAGGGAAAAGTGGGGAAGATTTCTGGGGTTTTTTCTTAGCTGCTCATTTTTTTCTGGTATTCAAGTAGTTCCTCATGGATATGGTCCCAAATATTTAGTCTAATTTTCTTGTATGAAGAAGCGATGTTCTTCAAATCCCAGTGATCTGAGGTCAGTTAAGCTGTGATCTCTGAGCTGGTGTCATTTAAATTGCTCTTCCCTTTCAGATGGGATGTCTAAGCCAGCGGAAAGAAAAGATTCAGGTGAGACCTCCTGAGAAACATGATGAAACACTCCCAAAAACATAATAAAAATACTGTTTAGAATTTACTTTTAAAAGATAATACTTTATTTTTATTGTTTAGACAGTAGCAAACCGTAGCTGTTGAAATGCTTCGAAGTACCAGGGCAAATAGGTTTCCAGCAGCCAAACCAGGAGCGAGAGAAGGCCGTGCTGCACAGAGCAGGACATGAATAGCAGTGTTTGACACATACATACATACCTATCTATCTATATTTGTTTCTGTATAGATAGATACATAGCTGTTCCATTCCTCCTCAGCCTACAGGAATTCCATTCCTACATTCAGCCTCACCCCAATCCCACACACAGGTCGCAGAAGACTGTAGGAGAATGGCTTCTTCTCACACCTCAAAGGACAGTGGGGAAAACTTAGCAAAATCCTCATAACCTCTTTCTTCCTACCCTGGCAGGTAACGCACATTGCACCCACTCTCGTGGTTTCAGGATTTGCAGCCTCTGGAACAAAATGAGCAGCTGGTACTTCAACCATGGTTAAAGACCTGGCATAGCTGCCTATGCCAGCCCGCCTCAAACCCACATTCTGTTCTGTTTGTTTAATAAATAGGAAATCGTTAATATCTAAGGATGATGATAATATTTAGGTGTTCTTTTATGTGGTACCAAATTAATGACTCCGTGTAAGCTTTTTTCCATTATTAATATCCTTTTTCCATTTCACCCCATGGCATGTTAGGTTTGTTACTGCACCTGACCAGATCCTGTGCTATCATCACTTCATCCTCTTCCCACCAATAACCTTCACTTGTTCTCATGACTCATGTTGTTTCCATATATTGCCATGTTATAGTGGTATAATCTAAATATTTAGATTATAGAGAGTATATATAGATATGTATCTATATATATTTGGGTTCATTCATGTCTGTGTAAATCATTTCATGTATGTGTGTATAAATGTGTACATACATGTGTGTATGTACGTGAATGTCTTTACCTGTGAGAAATGTTGTGCAAGCAGGCATATACAGAAGTAATAGGCACATCACCCACAATTGACTGAAGCACAAATATTTTATAGCAAAGCTATCTTGCATTTCAATACCTTTTTAAAATTCATAATAGACTTTAGGATAATAAAACAAATTTATTTGCATTTTCCCATGGTTTCTATGGGCTATGTTGCATTTGTGGTAGAAATTTTCATGAGTTGAAAAGGTTCCCACAGCAGTAATCACTACATATCAGAAATACTGTTCTGACCTCTAACTTCAGTTAGTTTCCCCTCTGTACTGGCAATAACTCCGTAAAAAATTGAGAGATGGCATTTGGACTGCAGGTTGGAATATGAGATATGCTTTGCCTCTGCAGAAAGTGAGCAGAAAATAGACAGGCATTCACTGCCTTGCTGCCCTTGCACTTTCTGCTCAGAATCAGCTTTGACCATAGTTTTACCCAAGATGTAATGGCATAGCACAAAGCCAGGGCTGTCCAGATAAACAGAAAGACCAGAAACACAGAGCTGTCCTGCTACAGTGCTCTTCCCTGGGGAGACCACTTACTTGCTGCTTTTCTCAGTACTGTTGTTCCTTTTCAGTTCCAAAGTCACAGTTTCCAGAAGAGTAGCTGCAGTGTCTGAACATATTTCACAATCATTTCCATCTTACAAACTACTTTTTCCATAGAATATTACATGATTTGCGTATGGCAGGGCATGGTGTTCACCAGTTCCCAAATTCTTTGCTTCTGTCATGGCAGAAAAGAAGAAAGTTCAGAAGTGAGCTTCATTCCTGCCCTACTTTGCAGACATAGAGGAAGAACCAGCTTGTACAATGGACTTAGTTTGGGTTGAGAGAGATCCAGTGAAACTGTGCATCAAATGTGGGGATTTTTGTGCTTCTAGCTGTTTGTGTTTTCAGAACCTCTATCTCTTCTGAAAAACAAAGAGCTGACCTTTGTGCATCACCTCTGTAAAACACTCATGGTTGAATGCTGGTGCCATTCAAGTTGCTCAGTGCCCATCCTGGCTGATGAGGTTCCCCTCTCTTCCTCCCTGATAGTTTCATTTTCTGTCACCACAGAGGTAGCGTTCTTGCAGGAGCTGTACACAATGTGACAGCCAAGCAATGGATGTCAGTGTGAACAAAAGCTTACATGTCTTTCAGGACATCTGAACAGAAAGGTGCTAGGGATAGAGAGTTTAGGAAGTTCAGGTAAGTGTACTTTGGAGGGAGTAAAACACCCTCAGATGATTGATATTTTCCCCTCTCTCTGCATCTCAGTATGGTCTCTTGGAGAAGGAGCTCCGGAAGAGTCAGAAAAACGCGATGACTCCCAGAGATCCACTTTGTTCGTCGAGAAACCTCAGAGTGGGACAGTGAGTGTTGGTAAGTGCCTAGGAACAAAATCAAAAGCCACTCCCAGAGACAGAGGCTGAGCTGGGAATGGTGTGTGCAGATTCTATGGCATTCAGGTTCTGCCCTCAGCTGCAAGTACTGCCTCTGGTTTCAGCTGGATGTGAACTCCACTCTGAAGACAAAAGGACTGTATGGAGAGAAGCAAACCCCAATTGTTTAATTCAAGACAATAATTTACTGAGCATAATGGTAAGGGATATAGTTTCTGGAGAAGAAAGCTGGTTATTGTGATACTCTTGGCTGTACTGTTATTGATATATCAAGAAGATCTTGTGCAGGGTAGCAGATCTTCCAGAACCAAAATCATTAACCTCTGCACCACTGCAGCACTTTCATATTCTGTGTGACTCTGTCTGACTCTTAATGTTGTGGTAGAGCACATGGAGGCTGAATGGAGCAGGAGCAGAAGAAACTTGTAGAGATGCAACTGACCAACCTCAACTGTTCCTCAACAGCTGCATTATTCTTTTCTCTTTCTGAAAGGTGGGAATATTACATTTATAGCCAAAGTAGAAGCCAAAGACCTTCTCCGAAAGCCAAATGTTAAGTGGTTTAAAGGAAAATGGATGGATCTGGCCAGTAAAGCGGGGAAGCACCTGCAGCTGAAGGAGTCCTTCGAGCGTCACACTAAGGTGTGTCTTTACTTTTCCTTCTTATGCAGGCAAAGCTCCAAAGAGAGCTTAAAGATCAGCTTAAGACAACAGGTAGAAGTTCAAGAGTGGTGGAATCTAACCCACACAGATTTCAGTGGTGATCTCTGACCCTCTGCAGAAGCAGAATTTCTGCTCTCCCAGTGCAGGACAAATAATGGTGGAGAAATCAAAATTTTCTGATGCCATTACTGGGTTCTAGTTTCTTTTCAGAGCCCATTATTTGAGTTATTCCTTATTTCTGGTGCATGTCTGAAAAACTCATGTTTTAACTTCTGCTTTGTGCAAATGCGTCCCCCATGCTAACAAACAACTTTGCTTGATTTTTAGATTCACACATTTGAGATGCAGATCATCAAAGCTAAGGAAAACTATGCAGGGAACTATCGCTGTGAAGTATCTTATAAGGACAAATTTGATAGCTGCTCTTTTGACCTTGAAGTCACTGGTAAGGTTCCATTTGTATCTGTAAAGATTGATAAGAATGTCTTTCTTTTTTTTTTTCTTTTCTTTTTTTTTTTTATAAGAATGTCTTTCTTTTTTTTTCTTTTCTTTTTTTTAATTTAATTTGAAATGACACTTCATTTTGTTCAGACCCTTTAAATGAGATAATACTTAAAGTGAATGTTTTTGTTTAGAGCTCTGAGAATTTTCTTGTGTCTGTAATTTATTATCTAAATGAACATTGGAATAGATACCATGTGAGATATTTATCCAGAAATTAGAAAAACTGGCAGGTAAAACCAATATTGAACTCAAATCAGGCTCTGGCACAGCAAACCCGGGGCTTTGTGTGTGTGCTTAGAGGTCAGCAAGCAGGGGCCAGCCTGGCTCCATCCATTCACTGTCTCTGGATCAGAACCATTTGATCTGATTCAGGCTGTCCCAAAGGGGTAATTCACACAAGGGGGATTCCTCCTTGCCCCAGGAATCAATGTGAGTCTGTAGCTGTAGAGACTACAGCTCTGTCTCTGTCTCCTTCCTCTGATGCTGAGCGTACTGAGAGAGCACAAGATGCCAGCAGGGGAGAAAGCACAGCAAGTGAGAAGACAAAAAAGGCCAGAGCCTGTGAACAAGGCAGGCAGGAGAATGGAGAGAAACATCAGAGAAACATATGTCCTACACAGAACTGCAGGAAGTACTTCAGAGAAATGGTACACTTAGCACTGAGCATCTTCACAGATATCAGAACCTGATGCCAAGGGGCATTAGAAGAAGCACAAACACTGGTCATTTAGCAGGAAACTTCATATTCCAGATTACACTGATTACATACATGATTCAAATTATGTTTTTAATTCCTGTATTACTGTTATTTCATAGAATCTTCCCAAGCTGCTCCATCCATTGACATCAGATCTGCTTTCAAAAGAAGGTAACTGCAGTGATCCTATCAAGTTCCTCAGTCATGGATGCTGGTAGCATGCAGAGAACTTGTGTCAGACAATTGTAGTACTTTATAAAACTGTTTTTGTAAATATAGATTAAAGAAGTGGGATCTAGAGTAATTGGTGGTGGGTAGAATGAAATAGTTACAACACAAAGATAGTACATATGATAATGAATACCCCTAATGTGCGAGTGTCATTCATTTAAAGGAACATTGAATAGTTAAGTCAATTAAATATATGGTTCTTTGGAGGTTTATAAAAATGAATTTTTATTCACTAAAATATTCTACTGCATGTTTCCTGAAAGCTGTCAGGCACAATATGAAAGTTCCTGGTCCCAGTCCTGCACTGATTAAAAACAGAGAGAAAATTCACATTGATTTCAAGAAGACAGGATCTGGCTTTGTTACCTTACAGTAAACAGTAAATACCATCAGTAAGGAGAAACAACAAATAGTATAGTACAGAGAATGTAAGATTTACATTGTGGCTTGAAGTTTGTTGCCTTTCTGATAAAGTAGCAGCTCTTACCAGTATAGCTGTCATCTTTTTGTGATGATATACATAAAAAATATATAGAATGAAAATATTTTACAAACAGATAATGAATGCTGTTTGCTAATTTACAAGTAAAGCTGTAATTCACAGGTAACTGCTTTTATTTAGAGTGCTCTAATTTAAAGATAAATACAAATGACATTACATTCAAGGTGCATTTCCTTCTTTGCACATTTTTTAAAAATGCAGTAACTATTCTGCCCAAGCAGATGAAGATATCTCAGTATTTACTTATTTTCTAAGTAATATCTTGCATGTAAAATCTTGATCAAACACTGGCTTTATTTCAGTTAAGACTTGCACTATTTTTCCCTTTTTACAAATATTTAGGGCAGTTCTTTTGTCTATATATGCACTATGATAAGATAATGCTGCTAAAGATCACATCATAGAAAGAAATGCACCTTCACAGGACTGTGATTCTATCTGTAAAAATGGACAATGTACTGTTTTATTCTTTTTTATAACCGTTTTCTCCCTTCATTTAGAGAAAGGTTCAATCTTTAAGGTTAAGTATTTTTCAATCAGTATTTGACTGAGCTATGCATTGTTAAAGTTATCACCCAGAAATGCAAACTTTTGTTTTGTATTCACAGCAAGAGATCAGCACAACCCCTTTGTTTTGTCCACTACAAAATGAAAAACAAAGCTGGTTGTGCTGTCTAGCTCCCATTTGTTTGTGTTACTGGAATCTAACACAAACCTTGGCAAATTTATGTACTCATTTACAAAAATTTGCCATCAAGGTATAAGAAGAAGCAATACAAAACTTTGTGTTATTTTTCACAAGTGTCTACAGAAACATAATCCGTGTGAAAAAGCATACAAGTTTGTGTTGATTTTATACAATTATTCGTGTGTCTGAACAGTGTTGAGTGTATGAGAAGTGTAGAGCATTTGCAATGTGTGTTGTCTAAGTCTCCTGTATTGAACAAAGATTTGATCTTTTTCTGTTAATAACAGTGGTGAAGGACAAGAGGATGCAGGAGAACTTGACTTTAGTGGTCTCCTGAAACGTAGGTGAGAACCAAGTGATGCAGTGAGCAGGTGTGGATTGCAAACCATTAGGTTCACACACAGAAACAGTCAGGTGTAGCATTAATAACTCCTTGTGACCTTTCAACTTTTTAATGTTTCTAACTGTTATTATTCTCATAGTATAATATAAAAACGTTCCATTAATTTTGCCTCAAAGTGTGTGGAAAGAAACCTCAGATTTGAGTGTGCTGGGAAAAAAAGTGACCCTCAGCCTAAAGAGGCCAATAATGTTTTGTTCACTTGCTATTTCTTTTGTGTTTGCATGGAAGGCAGAGGGGGGCAATTTCCTACACAGGGATGAGCAGTTCAGAAAATTAAGTCTGGTGCAGCAGTAGAAAAACTGCAAGGGTTAAATTTATCTCTTTGGGTACATCTCTACTCAATTTTATAAGCATCCTGATATGAAAAAATCACATAGTATGTTTTCAAGTCTTAGATATTGATATAATTTTTGTACCTTTTTTTTTTTTTAATATGTACATGTAAATTCTTGGTCATGTTTTATTTAACCCAAGTGTTTTGATTGAGAAAAACTGAGGTACAGATTTCTCTGATTTGCCTTGAAAATCTGGTGTTATGACAGTTATTTCAGATCTTAAACCCAGTTTAGTCTTTCACCACATTAAGACAAAATAGTTAATTCATGATCTTTTAAAATCAAGCAGAGAAATTCTATATGCCATGGAAATCAATGGCAGCTGATCACAGAGAATTATAAAAGGAATTATATCCTTTATCTCATCTACCAGTTACTCTGAAAGGAAAATCTGTAGTATTAATTACATTAAGATCACAATGGGCTCATTGGCTATGAGGGTGAGGATAGCATTTAAGCAACTAAAGCACACAGGAAAGGCTGAAGCTGAAAATAATAAAGAGTTACCCAGTCCAATTCCAATCCACCAGATCTTTGGTTTTTCAATCTTCTCATCCCTAATTAGGACCTTCAGTTTGTCTTTTCACCCTACTAATAAAACTTGCCATACCATTTCTCATGACCGCCTGTGTGGTGTTTCCGTACTAACATGAGAGTTGCACGTGAGAGGTCTTGGTGTTTTTGTGGAAAGATAAATGTGATTTAAGAGACATTATCACTTTACTAACAATTAACTCTTAAGTTTCATAAGATAAATACTGTACAGCCATATAAACATACTATCCCTACTGTGTGGTTAATGGACAAAGCAAATATTTAGGTTTTAGACACCGTTATTTGACTTTGGTCAAATTGGTTCACCTTCCTTCAGGCCCTGAAATGCAACCTCATATTTCTGAGCTTAATTGAGTAAAACTATTAATTAAGCCACAGTGTGGATATTAATATCCATATGTCTGGATATTAACATCCATTATTACAAAGACGAATCCATGGTTTCATTTCAATTTTTACAACAGGCAATGTTGGAATTGCATTCTTTCTTCTTTTTTTTTTTTTTATGGTTGTATGACCAAGGAAAGATCTAGAACTTTTCCTTTTTGGTTCATACTACTAGAAACATGGGGTTTTTTTTAAAAAAAAACCAAACCTAAATGCATAGAATCAATATACTGTCTATTTTCTGGTTTTCTGCTGGTTGGCAGGCAGACGTATCAAGTCTTATCTCAGTAAGCCACACCATGACTGGATATGCTTTGTCAATGCAATGGATCAGTACCAGAATGAAATTCCAAGAGGCACAATATCTAAATACCACTCAAATATTTAGGTCCTTGGTTGGTTTACTTGTTTTAAGTACATCTTGCAACAAAATGTGCATTTTAGGGAAGAGATCTGAAAGTGATTTCATGGCGAGCTCAGTCTGCTTGGGAAATACCATGCCCTATTTGCCTCTGGCCTCAGCTCCAATTACTGAGGTCTCAGAACAAAGTTGGCCTGCTCTAAGCATCAAAATTTGTTCTCCAGTTATGCAAGAGGAAAACAAGCCTGAAATTGAGTCTTTCAGTCAAGTTGAAAATCAGGATCCTCATTCTCAACCACTGCCTGATTTAAAGGGGAGCTTTATTTGGATTCCCACAGAGTGCACATCTCCTTGGCATGGAGGGACACTGGTGAGCAGCCAGCCCTGGGAGAGGACAGTGCTGCCCCAGAGTTTACAGGTGTTTGAGGGCTGATCTCAACCTGCCCCCATGCAGAAGGAATCTCTCTGAAATGGCAGCACTCACTGTACAGTCACCCTCCGGAAAGCTTGAGCATGGATAACAGGAACAAAATATAAAATTACATGTCTGAGATTGTCTAACTTACATTGCTGTCTCAGAATTATTGTATTTGAAAGACTACTCAGGGAGAACCTCTCTTCCTTTTTAAAATTACAGACATATTATGAAAATTAATAAATTTCATGGACTAAACAGCAAGGTGGTTTCTATGGTTCCTCATCCAACCGTGCAGACATTCTCAGGGATCTTTAGTGCTATTTCTGTATATGTCAAAGAAAATCCCCTCTTAGACTCCATAAAGCTCACATCTAACAGTGCCTTGCTGCAAAGCTTGGTATTTTTTTTATTTCTCAAAAGTTTATTTTCTTGCTCTGTTCTCAAAAGTACTGATTTTGTCAGACAAGCTAGATCAAATTTTAATGCTCCTGATCTATGTTATATCCTAATGATATTACAGGAGGAATAAAATCTAGATTTCTTCTTCAATTTCTTCTTCAATTTCTTCTTCAATTCCAGTATTGTTCTAGCAGTTCAGTTTTTTGAGCTAAATTGTCAATCTGAAAAATTATAATTTTGTTTAGGATGCTTCCATTGTTCTATCATTTAATTGCTGCCATTGTGAAAATAATTATACTTCTCTTTATTGGTTGCCTTAGCCTGGAGTTGCAGATAGTAAATACAGTATTGAAACTTCTGTGTAAAGGTGATTCCTCACACAGGCCTCTGAAAACATTTCCTGCTCTTAAGACTGAGATACACATGGAAGTGAACAGATCTATCCTTCAAGTCCAAGTTGGTGTGGAAATCTCCAGTTCCTGTTCATTTGACAACTTTAAGTAACGCTGAGAAGTACTGGTGTAACTATAAACAGACACAGAGTCCCTGTATTTCAATGTCCTGTCATCAGTCACCTGCAGTAGCTGTTACAGGGACTGGGGGTTTGAAAACATTTTTATTTAATTTTGAAATGCATAGCTTAGACTCAGTAGTGCCATCATAAATTGTGATTGATTCCCCTCAAGTTACAGCAGATAAAACAGATTTAAGTGGGATTAGCCTGCATGCTATTACGTTTTCAAACTGTATTTTTTTTTAAGCATTGAAGCAATATAAAAATTCTCATAACTGATTGCATCAGAAAAGGACAATTAAAGCTTGCATTGAAATTCTGCCTTGAAGAAGTATAAAGTAAGGTGTGAATGTCATTCTGAGCTACTCCACTCATACTGAGTGAAATAAAAAAATATGATGGCAGCCGTCAAATCTCGGTCAAAACATTTCTAGCCTCACCATAGATTCACCTTCTGTTTTTTATGGTGTGATAAAGCCTCACTAACTCTTCACCCATAATTCTGTTTTGCTAACGCCAGGGAGGTTAAACAGCAAGAGGAAGAGCCTGAGGTGGACGTGTGGGATCTGCTGAAGAACGCGAATCCCAGCGAGTACGAGAAGATTGCTTTCCAGTACGGCATCACCGACCTCAGGGGGATGCTGAAGCGGCTGAAGCGCATGCGCAGGGAAGTGAAGAAGAGTGCAGGTATGGACGTGGCAGAATATTCCTGTGCTCGTTAGTCACACACGACCATCCACCTGAAAAACCCAGATATTGCCCACTTCCACACAAGGGGACTTTCACACTACAACTCGTTCCTGCAAGGAGTTAATCAGAAGGCAGCTTTGGTCCATGGTGGAAGTGTAAACACCTCATCCAACTCAGTGCTTACCTAAAGCATCCCTCCCTCTCTGTCAAACACTGGTTCCATCTGGAACAATGTCCCCCAGGTGTGTGGAAAGGTGTCACCTGATCAAGCAATACAGAAATTAGACCTTGTGTTACCATAAATATCTTCTGCTCTAAACAGAGGTCAATCCAAACACATGCAGCATTTGCTCTTCATTATCTCATTTTGCATTTAATCTCTACTGCTCAGGAACCCCAGCTATACTACAGAGCCTCCACCCTGCACTGGGTGAGGACATTCAGCCCTGTCTTTCCCCACCTACCCTACTGAATAGTGTGAGAGGTGTAATTACATACAGAAATATATACATATATGTGTATATAAAGTACGTGTATATGCCACAGGATATGTTTGCACACACATATAAATACAATACACTGCCCAGGATACTACTGTGGCATTTCAGCATTTCAGAGCTGAATGCAGTATATACATTTGCTGTGTCACTGGTTTCCTGGAGGTATCCCTTTTATGTAGGTGAAGTCCTCCACAAATACACCTGTAACCCAGCTGCCTGATATATCCTCTCTCCTCATCCATTACCTCACATCATAACATATATTATGGTACTACACATTAATTTTTATTTATGCATTTCATTTGATGCATCTACCTGGTCCTATGTGTATCACTTCAAAGTCTTGAAGAGATAGCATCTTGGTCAGGATAACCAAATCTGCACAGTTTTGTGCTTATTCTAATGTTTCTAGATTATTCTATGCAGACCAGTGTGAGACTATGCATAACTTTGTGTGCATATATTCTGATAACTTTGACGAGATTTATGCAACGTCATTTCAGCATCCATATTCTTGTGTTCTGATCTCATGTTAAAATAACACTTGACTTCCACAACAGCTTTTGCCAAAGGCCTTGATCCTGCATACCAGGTGGACAAAGGAGGTAAAGTAAGGTTCATGGTGGAGCTAGCAGATCCAACAGTGGAACTCAAGTGGTATAAAAATGGCCAAGAAATACGACCAAGTGCAAAGTAAGTGATGATCTTAGTATATGTAAGCAATAAAATGGATACACATGTACTCCCTTAACAAGTGTGTTGCATAGATCCCTCTCTTTGCTCAGGTTGCACCAATTTTATTTCTGAATTTCATTAGATGTAAAGAGTATGCAAACAATGTTATATTGCTCAAGACCCAGAAAAGTCCACTGTAGGCTAAATGTAATACAGCTTGTCTCTTTTGTCTCAAGACAGAAGTGTTAGAGATCCTCAGAAAAGTGGCACAATTTCCTACTCAGTAGTTTTTCAAAAATCGGGAAGCACTGTGAGTAAATAAATCACTTGTCCTTGGTCCTGTGTCTGGAGGTGGACACAGTCTTTCTACAGTAATTGTGTGCTAAGATGTTAACATCACACACCCATCTGGCTCATAAACCACCCAAGAAAAGGGGTGTGAGGTTTGTCTCAGCTTCCACTGCCCTGTTAACTTTAACACACTGAAGTCAACAGCCTGCAGCATCAGTCATGAGCAACAGGTCTAGTGTACACATGCTTCTTCACCTGTACCACCTGCACATTGATTTATTCTCTGGCTTTTCCCGGACGAAGTGCAGGCACAGACAATCGAGTACATGTAGAGCAGTGCCTGGAAGTTGAGCCCAGTATATTTTGTGGATACAACCAGCTCTTACAACCTGGTGCAGAAAACCCCATTCCACAGTCAGACACACCTGGAGATGTGCATAACAATGTAATGTTCATCAAATGTTTCTCAGCAGCACAAAATCCTAGACATTTTTCCTCTGACCAATTGAGAAAATATATAGTAATTAACAAAAAGCCTCTTACAGAAATGAGGCAGATTTCTTTCATTCTGTTAAAATCAAGAAAGGATTTTGGTTAAAATTCATTATTGACAAAAAAATGGATAGTAGAGTACCTTTTCTTTAGCCTCTATATCTGGCAGGAGCAATTCAGAAGTGTTTTGCAGGCAGTTCTATGGATTCCTCTCCAGCAGGAGGGGTTGGATTGAGTGCCCCAGTGCATTTCTACCAGGCTGCTGAAGCAGCTGTCAGATGCTAACGAGCTTTGGTCATTACAAACCTGGAGCAGATCTAAACTGGTGACATAAAGGTGAAAGGCTCCATATCCCATTACCAAAACCCCATATCCCATTACTGATATCTTGTGCCATCTGGCCTACCAATAATATTAACTTCTTAACTTTGGCTATTATTACACTTCACAAAAATGTTGGAATGAGTGATGGTGTCCTCTTACTGGTTATTTTCAGCTTTACTCATCTAGAGTTTCAGACTCCATTTTATTTGCCATCATTTGACTCCAGCTTCTTTTTTTTTTTTAATTTCTTGTTTTCATATCACTCAGACCTGGGATCTTGGAACAAGCCAGAAGAAGCTCATTGTGCTCTACACCACTCTTTTTTTGTTAGAAGTCTATGACAGCTCTGTTGAAACTTGGAAATTGCTTCCAAGGACAATTTTCCCAGTACTGTGTAAACCCCAGAATATTTGCGTCTAAATCCCTACAGCACTTTCTACATTTAGAAAAAAAAAAAAAAAAGGTCCAGAAGTTTTGCTAATGTGTCTTTGTCCTGTCCAAAACAGATACATTTTTGAGCACAAAGGTAACCAGCGAATTTTATTCATCAATAACTGTACGATGACAGATGATGCTCGCTATTACGTAACAGCTGGTGATGAGAAATGCTCCACAGAACTGTTTGTGAGAGGTAACTATGTCAGCCTAGGGCTGTTTCACCTGCCCTAAATTTATGTGGTTTCTTTGGCTGCAACAGAAATTAAAAAAGAGGATCTTGTTTCTTATATTTTTGAATTTGTATTAGCAGCTGTTAGGATCACTTGGTATTTCTGTGATCCCTGGCCATTGCTTTTTCTCATCCTGTATTTAGCAGCTTAGTGAAAACCCTGAAATGGGGATATAGTTCACTTGATACTGTGCATTGGGATCTAGGGGGGCTGTGGTGCCCTTCAAAATTTTAAGCCATTTTGGAGACCTGTGTGTCATAGCACTGGCTTCCCCTAACACCACACTTGGTACGTGGGGACTCTGATATTGCCCAAGTGCCTTCAGATCAGGCTTTCGAGAAGCCAGTTTTCACTCCATTAGCACTGATTTGAGGGAAGACTGTCAACACCTATGAATGGGAGGCTCTATCTTCACTCTCTTTGCTCCCATGGTGCTGATTACCAAAGCAGAACAGGTGTTAATATGAAGAAATTCTACTTTTATTGAGCAAATTTCCTCTAGCATTCTAAAGAGCAACAACTTTTCTGATTTAAGGCAGAAAAGGCTGCACTGATACTCATATTAGAACTTGAAAGTAATATTGCCTTCTACAGCATGATATAGAAAATCTCTTTCTCTTGGTTTTCCCTCTCAGATTGTAAATCTGTAATTTTTTCTTTCCAAAGATCCTCCGATTTTGGTCACCAAAGGCCTGGAGGATACCAGCACTTATGTGGGTGAACGAGTAGAACTGAGCTGTGAAGTGTCTGAGGATGATGCAAATGTGAAATGGTAAGCCACACTTTGAACAGCTTCCATGGAAATAAAACCCAGAAGCTTTGCATGGGCAAAAACGTGGGCAGCTTTTCCTACACCAGTAAACCTGAAAACTGTTAAGAAAATCTCAAGAAAACTTTATTCAAAAATGTAGCAACACCAAAAATACCCTTATACATTCATGGATGAGTTTGTTTAACCTTTTCTAGTGCTTTGTAGTAATGCAAAATTTTCTCTGGGAGTTTCAGTCTGTGGAAGTCTTTCTTGCACAGGACTTCCTTTGGAAAAATAAAAATTCTTTGCTTTCCATTAGGTTTAGAAATGGCGTAGAACTTACCAACGATCCTAAATCTCGGTATCGAATTAAGGTTGAGGGTAAAAAACACACTTTGGTCATAGAGGAAGCTGCCAAAAATGACACTGCAACTTACTCAGTAATGACAACTGGAGGGCAATCAGAAGCCAAGCTTGCAGTTGACTGTGAGTATCATCCACCTTGCTCTCGAATTCATATGTCACAGTGGGCTGGCATACAGAAATGAACAATTTTCTTGCCTTTCCCTGGGGGTTGAAAAGGAGACTTAATTTCCATACCAAGTTTTTTGCTGTAAATCTCCAGAATAGTGACTTCCCTTTAGACACTATTTCCAGTAGCAGGCCATGAACTAGCTCTGCTTGTTAACTTTCTGTCACTCCATTAAGATGGAAAACAAAGTGATTCATCCACAGGTACAATAGGTCAAAAAAGTGAATTTTCAAGGGAAGTATCTGCTTTTCTTCAGTCCTTTCACAGGAAAGCCAAAACTAGGCACAAGCACATGACTGTGTAGCCCTCTCAGCTTTGTTTGTGCAGTATCTCTTTAAAGTGCTTGTGTTTTTAAACTAAATGTATCTGATCCATCCTCTGAAGTTATCTTGCACTATGCATAAATGAACATTTTTATTTGTAATACTCATGCTGCTCTTGACTATTTTGTACAAATTGGCACCCTGACCAATTCATGCTGTTTTATTATCAAGTTGGAAATTATCCCCTATGGCTCCTGATCATCTTTCTTTAATGTACCTGCTTCTGTGTTCCTAAGTGAGACCATTGAAGATATCACTTGCACTACAAGACCAGACTGTGAGGCTGGGACAGGAAATCCACTTGAAGTGTGAGATATCTGAGAATGTGGAAGGGAAATGGTACAAAAATGGGCAGCTGATTGAAGCTAGTGACCGTGTAAAGCTTTATCACAAAGGGAGGTAAGCCTGTTGTGTATTGACTTGGTGTTTTGGAGTGACACTCTGGAGATGTGCCACTATTTGGGTTATTTCACTAAAAATTATCTGCTAATCAAGCCTAACCTCTGTCCCTCAAGACATATTTATTTCTGTCATTTTAAAAGCCATGTCTCCTTGCTTCCTTTAATCTTGTGTATTTTGGCTGTGGAGGATAATAATCAAATCCTCAATCCACCTAAGTTCAAGCTATTGATTTTTCTTGCCATTGCTGTTGCTGTCTGTATGGGATTTTAAGCAGAAAAATAAAATTATTATTAGACACTATTAAAAATATACAGTTATTTTTCTCTTTTCTTTCTATGCCTCTTTTTCTCATAGCTCCTGTTTGTATCAACTCACAAAGATGCTCCAACAAAAGTCAGAATATTCCCACAATGGGATCACCTACAGATTTTTTCTTGAATAACCAAATTGAAATTGAATGGCAGCAGTATAGAATCTCCACGGAAAAAAGATTACACGCCTATATTTTTCTTGCTCTGTGTTCAAACAAACAATATTAAAATTGGTCACATTATTTGGTGGTTGTCTCAATAATATTTTGTACAAAGCACACAGCATTTGATCGCCTAAAATACCACCAGGCAACCAGCAAAGGATTTTTCAGTCACTAATGTTACAGACTTACACAGATCTAAAATTTCCACAAATATTTCCTTATATCTTCAAGCAGTCTTCAAACATAATTTACATTAATTTCTTTTTCAATTATTTTACAGAATTCACAGATTTGTTATACCAGTTTCTGCTGTTGATGATGAAGGTGAATACATGTTTGTGCCAGATGCCTACAACATTAATATTCCATGCAAAGTACATATTGTGGGTAAGTATACTGCACAGTGACCTGTATAGAATATCTTTCTGTGATGTTTGGGAATTAAAAGCAGCCTGAAATACCCCTGATTACAACCACTTTGTATCCTCTGAGCAGGCATCCACCAGAGAACACACACCTGCAGCTTTGGCAAAGTGCAGTTGAGCTGCTGGGAGAGTTCTTTGCCTGTGCTCAGGACCTGCTCATAGTTCATGTGCTGGGGGGAGCTCCTGGGGCAGGCTCCTTGAGGCTGAGCTCCTAAACCTAAACCACTATGAAGAGTTTGTGCAAAACACCTGCACCTATCCACTTCTCAGATATACACTGCTGTCTTTAAGAACTGGCTTGCTAACATTGCAAAATGTGATTTAGTTTGATGAGAGAGTAGTAGAATAAGCACATATTTACCTATTCACTAAAAACATTGAATGCTATCTAGAGGCCAAAATTGTTCTGGCCAGCTCTGATTCATTCAGCAAAGCAGAAGGCTTGTTAGTGGTCCCAGTATTTCAAACAAAAATAAAACAAGGCAATGACTATTCCCATTTCTAGCTGCAATCAGCAGTTTGGAAGTTGAAAGGAGAGCAATATAAATGACCAAAGTTTTGGAAAGCATGTTTTTAATTGAACCTGAGAGACGTGAGATATCTGTATTAGAAAAAATGTTGCTGAGATTTAGGGGAGAAAGAAGAGGGAAGTAGTACTAGAGGGGAGTGACCATTGTTATATTTCTAATAAGTTAAAAAAAGTTGCAAAAGGATATTAATTACTTGTTCTCCATACACACAGTGTATAACGAAAGTGATAATTTTGTTTCCAGAAAAGGATTGGGGTTAATAAATTTTATACTGTAAGGACAGTGAAGGCTGAAGCGTGGTTAAATGTGCCATAAAAAAGCCCTGAAACAACTGAAATTCTCAAGAACCACTTAGAGGAAAATGCTCTCAGAAGTTACCTGAATATACATAATTCTGCCTCAGGAAAACAGTTGTGGGTTTTTTCATATGGTCTTATTATTCTAAAATGTCTATGGTGCCATGATTTATTTTTCATCAGGCAACTATTTTATTAAATAGATTTTTCTTCCCAAGTTTTCTTCGAAACAAAATTCAATTGCTTAAAAATACTGAAAAAACCCCCAAAAAACCATAGAGCATGTTATTGTGTGTTACAGACCTGTGCCAGGTCACTAAACTCTCAGAGCAGCAGCTACATATCAAACTTTGACCATCTCTCTCCTTCTTCAGATCCTCCTAAACTTCACCTGGATGGGCTTGGGGAAAATAACACTGTGACAGTAGTGGCAGGAAATAAACTACGACTTGAGATCCCCATCACTGGTGAACCAACCCCAAAAGTCTTTTGGAGCAGAGGGGACAAGGTACATCGTCATTGCAAATGTTTCTTTAGCTTAACACAGAGTCTTTTCCTTAAAAAAAAAAAAATCTTTAGCCTTTTGAAGACACTGATTTTAATGGCAGAAAATCAGAGGGAAATGTCCTCTATTTAAAAATGCTCCTTGCTCAAAAAAGAAGGGTAAAACAGATAAATATTATTTAGTATCTTTTGGGTCTTTTAAAGGAAAGGCTGAAATGATTGAGGAAAGAAATATGGGTTTGCTATAGAAAAATGGTAGAGGAGAAGAATGTATGGGATGCAGAAGAAAACTCATGAAAATTTAGCAGATGGCTACTTCTTCTATACATTTGATGCCCAGAATGGCTGCCAGGTTTTGGCAGGAAGCTTTTATACAGTCTGGTTTTGGAAAATTAATGATAAAGTCTAATGGAGTTCAGGCCTCAAATGAAACAATAGGTTGGGCAATTGGGGTCTTGAATCTGGTATCTTAATGCAGAACTTTTGCTTAGATCAATCCTTGGCTGTGTAAATACTGAAATAGTTGTTTTTCACATTTAAATTTTCATTGTGCAGTGTAGAAGCTCGGACATGTTACCACTACTGCATTCATCAGACCTATCTGGTCAAATGTGTGACAACTATTTTTCAAATATTAATTGTAGTGTCATCACCTGTGGTCCTGTCCAAATAGGGAATTATTCCAGGAGAGCTCCTACTCCAAAATATGTCACAGCAATTGAAACTTGTGAGGAGAAACTACTGACCGTAACAATCACTCTGACCTTTAAAGTGAATGACTGAAATTTTGATTTAACTTTTGTGAGAATCCTCTATTCTTTTTCCATCAAATTAATGATATGTGGTGTTTACAAAAGTATTTTCTTGCTCACAGGAGAAGCCTGTGCCTCATCCTTTGTGATGCAATGGCTTAACTGAGTAGTAAACTGTTACCATTACTTATGTAATCTACAGTAACCATCACTTATTTTAGTTATTTTGTCATTTTTCTCATCATTAGGTGACTGAAATGCTGAGGTTTGGTGTGTTTTTTCTAACTGTTGCTTTAATATTTTTATTGAAGCAGACTGTACTTCTTTCGAGTTTTGATTTTTGAGTATTTTGATTCTCAAATCCAGAAAATATGACTTTTCCCTCTGCTCACTGTTGTTCCCAGATGGTCACAGACAGTGGAAGAATACGGGCAGAAACGTACCCAGACAGCAGCTGCCTGGTCATTGATGCAGCTGAGAGGGAGGATTCGGGTCCTTTCAGAATCACTTTAAAGAACGAGGCTGGAGAGGATTCAGCTCTAATCAACATTAAAGTGGTTGGTAAGTCATGTGAAACAGTGGCCATGAGCCATGTCTTTTATACTGTGGTAGAGTCTCAGGAAACTTCCATTTTCCAATTCTTCCACAATTTCCAGGCAATTGAGACTTGAGATGTAAGGCTACTGAGGCTGGGTGTTACTGAAGGGAGTAGGAACTTGGATGGGATATAAGTAGGAGTTAATTATCACTGCTGCCAGGAGCCAGACTTCTCTGGTTGCCTCAGGCTGCCCTTATCACTGCTGGTTCTCCACTCTCCCTGTGGCTGTGGGCTCTGCCTTGGCACATGCCCTCGAGAGCCTCTCAAGTGTCTCGACCGTGCAGAAGACCTTGGCATTCATCCATTCCTAACCACCAGCCAGGATCCACTAACTTTCTTTTTTTCTCTTTCTCTCTCCTCATTAGGAACTCCTGTTCCACCTCAAAAACTATTTAGATTTCTTTCTTATTTGACATTTTTAATTTCAACCTATGAATAAAGGAGATTTTTTTTTAAATAATATTCACTTTGTTCACAACAGATGTCCCTGATCCTCCTCAGGCACCAAATGTGACTGAGGTGGGTGAAGACTGGTGTATTATGACCTGGGAACCTCCAGCAAATGATGGTGGATCACCCATTTTAGGTACATACTTTTCCTTTTTTTTTTTTTTTTGGTGGTGACTCTCTGATATAGACAAAAGAAGCAAACATCGAATAGTGGATGCAACAGGATCAGAGTTTAGCTTAGGCCCTGGAAAGTGGCACTGTGAATATTCAGTAGCTAGAATGTTATACCTACTCTTTGACTTTATCAGATATCTCTTTTTCTAATGCTTTGAGATTTGTCACTTTGTATGTTACCACAGTATCAATCCTCCTGCTTGAAAGACAACCTCTTACGAAGCAACTTTGAACTCTTATCAGCCTGTTTGAATATTAAAAGGAATTTCAGAAACCATTTACTGATTTAAGAAACTGAACCAAGGTGAAAGTGAGAGGTATTTTTACTCAGGCCCTTTTCACTCTGAACTAAACACAGAAGTCTTCTAAGTAAAGCCCAAAAAAACTTCATATATGGCCATGAAAACGAAACAGGTGACTATCAGATAGCTTGCAATAGGGAAAATTATCCCTAAATCACTCTGAAGCTAGAAGGGGATATTGAGGAGTATCCAGATTAAAAAATGTCAAAAAATAGACCCTTTATTACTGATCTTTATGCCATCAGTTACTATAATAAAATCTTTTCTGGTCAAAAGGATATTTCATTGAGAGGAAAAAGAAACAGAGCTCCAGGTGGATGAGGCTGAATTTTGAACTGTGTAAGGAAACAACTTTTGAGCCAAAGAAAATGATTGAAGGTGTTGCTTATGAGGTCCGTGTGTTTGCTGTCAATGCCATCGGCATGTCCAAGCCAAGTATGCCTTCCAAGTCCTTTGTTCCTTTAGGTAAGTAGCCAAGACCACAGAGATAGGTATGCATTTAGAAAATAGCCATTAATATGTTGGTGTAGTCACCTCATTATATAATTTTTATATTAGTGTGACAGCTAGAAGGTTTTGTCATTCACATAGTGACAGGCTAACTCAGGGGACTTTTCATCTAAAAAACCACATTTTCAAACTATTTTGACAGCCACAAGACCCTGTAAAAGAAGGGAGTCTTGTTCTGTAGATCAGCAAAGGCTCCCCCCTTGCTCAGTAGCACCCCCAGAATGCGGAGGAGGAGGAAGGAGGGAGCAGGTACAGCCCCAGCCATGCTCCCTTCTTGCCAGAGCATACCTGCTGAGGTAGAATACACTGCTCCCGACTTCTCTGCTCTACCAGCCACAGCTGCTTGTCCTTCTCTCTTCTCAGCAGGAGGAATTTATCTCTGGGTCAGGCTGTGAGCAGATATGGGATGAGGTAGCTGATTTCTGCTAGTGTGGTCCTAATTGGGAAGGACATGCCAGGGATGGTGGGAAATCATCCTGGTAGGCAGGATAACTTGTGATACTAAACTAGGGGAACACAGACCATAAACACGAAGCTTTAATTGTAACACGGTGTTCTGCCTTCTCCCTGCCTGCTTCAGCTGTTACCAGCCCCCCAACTCTGCTGGCAGTGGACAGTGTGACCGACACCTCGGTGACAATGAAGTGGAGGCCACCAGACCAGATTGGGGCGGCAGGGCTGGACGGCTACGTGGTGGAATACTGCTTTGAAGGAAGTAAGTGACAACGCCCCGGGTACCTGACTCACAGTGAAAGTGGGTGAGACTTTCTCCATTTTTTCTCTACAGGTATCAGGTGCTCTGGCTGTCAGGCAGAGACTAATCAGGCAGAAAACCTCAAGGAGCAGGGTTTTGTTCAGGCTTCCTTTGGTTTGTATTCCAGATGCCACCCACTGACTGTGGTTCCACGTGTCTTACACTTGATTTGAGATCCAAATCAAAAGCCATATAATCTGTTGTAGTGTACCAAGTGCTAATAACCATCCTCTTTTAGATACTAAATGAGTGTCAGGGCAGTGAAGAGTTCATTGGTGGATGAAGGTGTAGGAATTAATGAATGGCTACAAATGTGGCCCAAAATATGTTCAGGTTGGCTAGGTTTTAGGGACAGGAGGTCCTCAGTGGGGTAATCCCTGCTGACATCTTACTAACTGGCTACTTCAAGTGCCAGCTGCTTACACTGAGTACAGCCTCTCCAATAGTTCCTGTAGAAGTCATCTAGGCAGCAAAGTCCATGTCTAGATATTTAATTTCTCCAACATTTCAGTGTAGTTATTGGGATCTTTAACTATGTCCATCTAAGACAAAAGTATATAAGAAATGAAGGACGAAGAAAGAGACTGAATTAACTCTTGAGAGTAAAATTAGAGGGAGCAGGAAAATATAAATTATATTTTACAACTAAGGGTCTTTGGTGATCAAGCAGCAGAAACTTAGTATTTTCCAGCAGATTTTCTCCTGAACTGGCATCAAATGTAGCCTATTTTCAAAAGGTAAAATCCACCAGCATCTGGGTAAGTATCAAATACCCTGGAGTGATATGTGCAATACCCATCCTCTGTGGACCAACAGCATCAACTGCAGCAATGTTGTGGCTGTGGATGAAGGGAACACAGTTATCTTCAGCTCCACTGCTGTTGCTCTTAACTGTGCTGTAAATCAAGCGATGGGTTGAACACCTTGTTCCATGACAGCATTTATTTCAATGAAAGCTTTTCATGAACAGAGTCTATAGCCTGGAGACAAAAGGTAGAGGGCAGAACCTGTCATTCATGCTGTCACATGTTTCAGATTCAGACAATCCAGGAAAACAGTAGGTCATAAACGTGGTCAGGTGCCACGGCATCAGAGCACACTCAGCTCTCTCTCAGGCGAGTGGAGAGGGTGTGAAGATGAACCACTGGCTTTTCTCAGGAGCACTCAGCATCTTGTAGTATTGAGATGAATATCTTTAAGGAGCAAGACTTCAAGAAGCTCAGAGACCCGGAGAAGAGTACCTGAAGGCAGACACAGCTGGAATGGTAGGAAGGGTTTTCCTTGTATATTGGGAGGGAGCTGCGGGAACAGCTCAGAATGAGTAAGCATGCAGTCTTCCATCAAGATACAGTGTTCTTATTTTATTTCCACTGCACAGGCCAGGTGTAGGGGAAGATTGAAGGGACTGTCAATGTGAGGACTTCCATGTATTCTGTATATTATGCTTTGTTTAGCACTGGGTAGTATGGCAGGGAAAAGACAAAAGTGCTTGACATTACAGTATGTGATATCCAAATTAGGTGATAAGAGAGGATGAGAAATACAGGCAGGTTAATTCAAAGTATGGCTTTGAAAAGGAATCTTCTTATTCTGTCTTTAAAGGGCTGTTAAAAGAACATTGTACACCTGTTAAATGGAACAAATTCTTTACTTTTTTTTTCCAGATAGGTTTTAAACGTATGAAGATACAACAAAATGGCAGCCAAGTCTGTCATTTTACTGTTACCCACCTCAGTTAAAATACAATGGGTACAATGTATTTTACATAGTTTTGAGTGTTTATGTATATCTATATATGCCTCCTATATATGCATATACATCTATATATACACAATTGACATTATGTATATATGTTATGAAAATGCTTAGGAAGAAGCAAGATACATAGAAAATGCCAATTTTAAAATGCCAATTTTAAAATACCAATTTTAAAAGTCATGTTGTTAGATTATTCATATTTTTCTCTCTGTTCAGTTGTTTTTTTTCTTTCTTGCAATCTTAGTGCCTCTTTTTTCTCAGTCCTTTTAGTGCCTGTTCTGCCTCAAACTAATTTTTTCTGTAATGTTTAATAACTGTTTTTAATTTCAAGATAATTTTTATGACTGTCTATATTCATTCTACTGTTTTTTTCTCTTAGTTATCTGTTTGTAAACTCATCTGTATTTACATTCTCCATTTTTTCGTTGTGGTCACTGAAGTAGTTCTCAAGAGGGTTTTTAGAGTCTTCCTTAACATAGCAACCGTTAGGAGAAATCACAAGCTGACAATAGGAAAACAAAAAATATATCTAAAGATAATTTAGAGGAATAATGTATCATAAACATTGGCTTGGCTTTACAAAACTAGTATTTCCCTTCAGTCAGAACTACATAACTTGATCAGTGTGGTGGATTCTTGGAGTCCTTAACTATGTACCACTCTGTGCAGGTTACTGGGCTGGAGTCTCATCATGAGTATGCTGATCCAGCATTGCATAGGTGTGAATAACATGAATAGAGAATATATATACAGAGAGAGGAGGGGGGAACTCCCCAGGCCTTGTTTACAATATCCAACTCCAGCCCTCTTGCTGTAGAGATGTGGAGTAGACCAAATCCTGTTGACACTGGAGAAGTCAGTCACTAGTAAAGTGTGCTGCTGAGTGGTTCTTGTGTGGCATTTTGAGGGCAGCCTGGGGAGCATGGCATGAGTGCTGCCCATGACAATTTGTTCATTGGCTTGTAACAGGCTGTTGTACCTGCAGATGATCTGTTTTTATAAATAGGTACTTCAGAGAGTTTCTGTTGGCTGAGATCTTTACCATTGTATTAATCCAGGACTGTGTAAAGATACTAGAATAGTATTTTTATTATCCCCAAAATAGCCAGCTCCAGGATTACAGGAAATCCAGGGCAGTGATAACTTCTTCCAGGAAATAAAGCCTTAGGGTTTACATCATATCTGTCATCATCCATGGGTTTGGTCTTCTTTAATCTTCTATCTGTGTTACCTTTAGCTAAATGTGCTCTCTTCCTCTGTTTCCTTCAACTTTTTTTCCAAGACCTCTTCTTTTCTGTCTCTCTTATTCAGAATCTCTCTCTGATATTTTTATCTCTTCTGTGATGTGTTTTTTTTCTCCTTCTACACTTTCTCTCATCATCACTTTATTTCATTTCTCTCTTCCAAATGTTCCTTTTGTCTCTTTCTTTTCATAATTCTAGGGCTATTCTGGGGCCCAAAAACCTCATACAACTTTATGTCCTCCTCTTCTTTCATCCTTTATCTTTCCTGTGGGCATCACATATAACTGTTCTGTGATCTAGATGCCCTCTTTCCATCTCTTTTCTCCCTGCATTCTCCCTAAATATGGGTTCTCTAAATCTGTAAAGCCCATCATCTATCTCTGCATACTTACTAACAGGAATTGCTAACCACTGACAAAATGCTCCATCTGTGTGAAAGTGGGTGTCTCTGATTAATTTTAAAGATGGATTCTCTCAAGGTATATCGACAGATCTGTCTGAGGAATTGGGGGAGCCACCTTTTAACCTGGAAGGTACAGTATTCCACAAAGGATATAAGTCTTCTTTAATGAAAGAAAAACTCTCTTCATAAAAGTAAAGATAAATTCCTGATGGTGAATTTTAGGGGCAACAGTCTACAGAATTTTCTGTAGTATAGGTGTAAGGGGAGGGGGAGATACTTGGGAAACAGTCATTGATTGAAATCCTTTTCTGCTAGAAGCTTGAAGGAAGACTTCATTCCTAAAAGCAGGACACTCAGTTATGAAAATGTATCACAGCACTATGCTCTAGCTATGCAGGGCTCTCCAGTTCATATTGATTCTCTTGTCTTCTGTGCCCATTTTATAGTGCTAGCTTTACATGATGTGGGGAGTATTGATCCTGACTTGCTAGTTCATAAATCTGGCTCCTGTGACCAGGTGCCAGCAGTGTTGGGGCAGTCTGTGCTGCGAGGACAGGGTGGATAAGAAAGTATGGTTTGTAATTGCAGCTGTTCTGAAAGACTGTACTGATCACTCCATGAATTTTGTGCATCCACCTGGGGGTAGGATTAAAAATCTGAGAATGCTGTAATTATGTGAATAATTCTGACAGCCTTCTTTTTTTTAAAGGCATGAGGAGAAAGGGCATCTCATTGTAATGTGTAAATATTCTGTGTTTCTCTTACTTGTCAGTTATACTTTCAAGGGTACTCAGTACTGGTTGAAATTAATTACAAAACCCATTTCTCTTCAAGGAAGCTGTTAAAAGCAATGATGAGTGCCTTGGGAAACATATTCTTTGTCCTCCTTGTTTTATTCTAGCTGAATTTTAAAAATCTTACCAGTTTTCTCTCTAGTACATTTAAATTACATTCTAATAACATTTGTATAATTGTATAAAGATATATAAGTATATGAATATACAATATGTAATCAGCAGAAACCCTTTGGGGTTTGAAATATTCTTCCTGTGTATGAAAGTGGATCTACATTGTTACAGCATAATTAGAAAAACAAAATAGAAATTAGAATCTAACAAATCTCTTACTTTTCTGTAATCTTCCACATCCATGCTGTGGATATATTTATAATTCTCTGTTCTTTGGGTTTGTCCTCCTCCCCTCACTTCCCTAAACCAGCCGATGAATGGATCGTGGCTAACCCAGAGCTGACAGACAAAACCAAATTTACCATTAATGGCCTTCCGACTGGCTCCAAAATCCTTGTGAGAGTAAAAGCTGTGAATGCTGCTGGTGAGAGTGAGCCCAAGTACCACCCACAGCCTATCTTAGTCAAGGAAGTGATAGGTAAGATCCTGCTTCCTACACTTATCCACAAATACACCCTGTTTTCATACTAATACCTGGGTTTTTTAAGGCTAATACTTGTTCTTGGTAACTGATGATATGGCCTTACAAAGCCATTGTGTGGTGGCTAGAAATTATGAAACTGTCCTTAAAAAAACTTGGTAATTTTGTTTCATTTCTGAGTCTTTATTTCTCGGTTTTTCAGGGCTTTTTTCTGCAGAAATTGAACTTGATGGTGCTTCTTTAAAGTTGTCTAAGCTTCCCATCATCATAGCATTTGGTGTTATAAAAGCTAATGATGTCCTGAATGCAGTGCTGAGGGACCAAGAAATTTAAGACACATCACTCATTAGTCACTTCTGGGACTTTTAGACACCACTATCTCCTTTTTATACTGATGCACACCAGTGCTGCCTCGGTTAGAAAGGAAGATAAGTGCTTAACACAAACTTTTGTTTTGCTCAGAACCTCCAAAGATTCGTCTACCAAGACACTTAAAACAAACCTATACTCGGAGAGTTGGAGAAACTGTGAATCTTGTTATTCCTTTCCAGGTAAGAACTAAAAACACTGATAGAAAAATTCTTTTTGTCTTTTTTCCCCCATTTTCTTTTCGATAATGCTGCTTTTTAACTGCCTTCTCTCTACCTTTGGCCTTTGAGCTAACTTAAGCACCTGTGGAAGCACTCTGAAGTACAGAGGGGCTTGAAAGTTTTTGGTTCAATATCTCAAACAAATGACATTCAGCCAAGTAATGAATTGGGTAACTCACTCAAACAGACTGATTGGTCATCTGTCATCCAAAGGACACTTACAAATCCTCACCATAGATATTGCATGTGAGATAATTGCTAGCTCAATGCAAAGGGATTGCACTGGAAGCAGTTAAATAAGGTTATCAAGAGTGGAACAGTAGCATTTAATAACTTCCTTGTCATGAGAGAAGAAAAGTGAGGGGGAAAGCAGGCAGACTGCAACAGTTAAATCCTTGAGATCACAACTGTAATATGACTATTTCTAAAATACGTAGCATGTTTCCCCACAGCACTGAGTTAACTTTCATTCCCATATCTTTTAAACAGTACTCGCCTCTCTCCTAGCAGAGTCCTTCTTATGAATAAAAGAATTATGGCAGAACTCATTTCTATTTCATGTTTGTACATTTTAAGATACTGGAGGGGCATAACTCAGCTTCACAGAGGCTGTTAAAAGCCTCATAAAAGCTTGATCAGCAATACACTGCAAGATATATTTCTCTTGAGAAATTAAAGGAATATTCTACGGTTATTTTCTAAGATAAGGTGTTCAAAATGGTGTGAGATTGCCCTTTTCAGACAGCATCTTCAAACTGTTTGCCTGTGGAAGGCAAATCCTAGGGCAAAGCAGGTGAAATTCACCCTACTTTAAGTACCTATATTGGGCACTTAGACACACAAAAATGGCACACAAGAGAGATCAATCCAGCCTTCCTAACAGCTATTACAACTTCCTTTGCAATGAAAGAAGACAGTTTAGGATCCTTGGAGGTTGAATCTATTACTTTCCTCTTTCACTGGCAGAGTAGAGAATGTAAGCATTTCCAGAGAGTGAAATACTTTGTTCTATGTTTTCTGTGGGTTATTGCTTCTGCCTTTTCTTTCAGAAAACTGGAAATTATTTGTCAAATTTAGCCAAAAAGGTAATTGTCCAATATAGCCAGAAATTGCAAATATTTTCAGTCTCCTGGAAAAAAAAAAATAGGAAAAAAAGGAAAAAAAGGAAGAAAGTTATATTTTAGGTGAATTGGTATGATTGCATCTCTAAATGGTGTATAATTTAAAAAATATTTCTGTTTCTTTCAGGACAGTTTTTATTTCCTTTTTGGGGAAAAACGGGAAATAAACCTGCTTCCTTCCCTTCCCTTTTCTCTCCAAAAAAACATCATACAAAAATTGTTTCCTGGCTCCTTGCAGGGAAAACCAAGAGCAAAAGTATCGTGGGAGAAGAACGGTTCTCCGATCGACAAGAACGACATCAACATCCGCAACACCGAGAACGACACCATCATCTTCATCCGAAAGGCAGAGCGGGGCCACTCCGGGGAGTACGACATGAAGGTGGAGGTGGAGAACCTGGTGGACAAGGCTACCATAGACATTCAGATCGTTGGTATGTTTGGAGAAAGGGAGATCAATCCAGCTGCTCCAAGGCTGCAGGAAAATGGGAATCTTAGCATCTTTCTTGGCGGTGATATCTCTCCACATCCAATTACTTGGCTGTAGATTTGTGGTCTGTCCATACACCATAGCCTTGTTGGAATGTGACAGTCTCTTTTTTTCTCTGTTAAGCCCCTCATGTTCTTGTCTATCCAGGATGCAAGATTTTTCCTGTTGAATGGTACCCATAGACAGAACTGGTAGCAAATTCATAGTAAGTTTGTCACAAATGCAGTGTGGAAGAAATCCTAAATACTGAAAGTACATGAAGTTAGGAAAGACAGACAAGAAAACACGTTTATTTTTCTTTTTTACAATCTATTCCTTAAAATAATTGGCAAAACTGGCAGCACAACTTTAACTATTAAATTTATTGTAATTCTGACATGCTTCACTTTGAAAAGTTTTATTTTGCTACCACATATTTCTTTTGACTTTTTTTTTTTCGTAAGAAAGAGAGAGAAACCAAATTAATTGGAAGATGTATGTAGGGAAGAGATAGAGAAAGCAAATGGTAGAATATGTCATATTTTTGTTACAGATCGCCCAGGCCCACCAGAGGTTGTAACCATTGAGGATGTCTGGGGAGAGAATGTGAATTTATCATGGAAACCACCAAAAGATGATGGCAATGCTGCCATTACTGGGTACACTATTCAAAAAGCAGATAAGAAGAGTATGGTAAGTAATAAGGAGATTTTTAACAGCTGGATGTACTCATGAATTCTCCTTTTTAAAAACAAAAAGCATTACATGCTTAAAATTATGTAGGTGGACAAAGCACTGATTTATCAGCAATCAAAAAATCCCTAAAATCTCTAAAAACTCTAAAAATCTCCTCTTCACTATAACTAAAGTATAGAAATGGGCATATTTTCAAATTATTCCAAAGAGGAGGAATAAAAAATGAAAGGATAGGTAGATTTGAGAGAAGTAATTTTGCATTCTTCCTTTGCCTCAGGAGGGAAAGCAAAACTTTAAAATATTAATTCTGAATTCAGTAGGTTGCTGCCAGGCCAAAAGTGTACCATTGCTGCTGTTTTCAAACCTGCAATGTGATGCTGTGTAAGTCATTGCCACTACTTACTGCCCATGGCAAAACAGCACATAGGTAATTCTGAAACCACTCTGAGATTTACAGGTAAAAATGCAATACTGAAATATTTATTATTTTCATTAAACTAACAAAAATTTTAGACTTTCTTAAAAGACAGTAGTCAGATTCACAGATTTAACATTTACTGCAAATTTAAACATTGGAAATCTTGGGCAATATTTTGGGAGCTTCCTTCTCCAAGAAAATCTTTTGCTGTCCCCTCCTATCCTCCACAATAATATGTTGATCTCCTTCATGGTCTGATCAATTCATTATTCCTATGCCACTATTTTCCTTCCCATCCTTCTTTTTTTTTTTTTTTTTCTCCCTCCCTTGAGACTGTAAGAAGATACAGTCTCTGGTACAGTGACCAGAACAATGTTCCCTCTTAATTACTGTGATAAGGAGAAAGTAACAACAACAAACAGCATCTAGGGTTCAGAGAGACATGAATCATTCAGATCACTTTCCTCACAGTATCTGTGGTGGCACATTTTGCAATTCTGGCACAGCTGGTTTTCTACAAAAAACTGTTTTCTCAAAGGAACTTTGGCTCTTAAAGTTGACCAAATATTAATGCAAACTGTGGTACAGGGAAATCAGCAGAAGTTCATCTTTAAAAAAAACAAGAAAACTATTTAGGGCAGAGTAAAGAAAAGCAAAAACATTGGTGTGGTCATATTGCACTTGATATTAATTGCATTTTTAGTATTAACCTCTTTCATCTCAGATTGTTGTTTAGGTATTGTGTAATAGGACAGAATTCACACATCCTGTTTCTGCTGCAAGACTAAAGCACTAAAACCCACTTGCCCTTCTTGGCCTTTAGATATCAGAGGACCACCAGCACAGAGCTACATTTCTCATGAACACTCAGCCTGTGACAGAGAGGGCAGATTAGTGCAGTGGCCTCTTGTGAGTACATATTGCTGCAGAACAGCCCATGCTATTGCCTTCCCCACAGGAATGCAGTTTTGTTATCTGCAACTGTATTTTCTCTGTCAGCAGTGTGGATTAGGAACGAGGGAGCCTGCCTTGCTCACACAACACCACCTTTGTAATACTGCAGTTCCTAAAAGGAGCCCTTCCAGCTGGCAGTAAAACAATTCAGTGGGGTTCACTGTCCATTCAGCATTCACTGCTCGGCAGTGAGCTCTGCAGTACTGCCATTATCACTCATTTCATTATTAATTATTGTTAGCTCTATTCTCTTCAAAGAAGAACCTAGTCCCAGAAATGTGATGATTGTTCCAGTGGATTCTGAGAGGCACAGGGTGCTGGGGGGGAGCTCACCCTGTGTGTCTGTGCCTTTCAGGAGTGGTTCACCGTGATCGAGCACTACCATCGCACCAGTGCCACCATCAATGAGCTGGTCATAGGCAACGAGTACTACTTCAGGGTCTTTGCTGAAAACATGTGTGGCCTCAGCGAGGATGCAACCATGACCAAAGAGAGTGCTTTGATTGCAAAGGATGGTTAGTTAATTATCCATGCCTCCTCAAGGGGGAACGGGGTGCTCAAAGGCTGGAAGGTGACTAGAGGTAAAAGCCGTATCTCTAAAGCATTCAGAGGCACTCCCCACCCCAAGGCCAGGTACAACAGCCAGGGCATTTCCTATTCAGACTTCTTGGTTTGTCTACATAGCTCATAGGCACTGCTTTTAATCAGGAGTGGGACATTTCTCCCATGTTCTGACATTTTCTATGGTCTCATATGATCTCAGACTTGCGTCACCAGTGGCACATATGCATTGACAAGAGCTGGAGAGGAATAAAGCAGCTGTTCTGTTAGAAGCAGTGGGTCACTGTCCTCCACTGGAGACTTGGCATCAGCTGTGCTCCATTTCAGGCAGGATACAATAGAAAAGTATAATAATCCCTGCTTCACATCTCTCAAGGGTGGGGTTGGGCAAATTCTGATTCTGAAGTCAAAAATCCTGACATTTCAGAAGATATCAGTCGGAAACAGCACTGTAAACTTAAAAAACACAAAACTTTCCTATGGAAAGGAAATACTAAAAACAAATACCTTACAGGAAGAAAATCAAAGCAGTTTGTCTGAAAGGAAGGAATACACGACTGCCATGCTGCAGAGGACAGACAACCTGTACAACCCACACAGCCAGGCTGAAAGACTCTGGAGTCATGAACAAGAGAATGGCTCTAGGAATTCTTTTTCAGCATTGCTTACTTGCCCTTCTCATGAGAGCAAGTATGAGGACTAAGCTGCACTGAAGTCAGTATGAGAGCTTGCATCAGCTTTCAGTGAGGCAAAGCTCCTTAATGATACCTGTGCACAGGAATAGATGTCTGCCTGTCTGGCCACTTTAAACGCCAGCTGAGTGTGTGGCTGAAGAGGATTTGTTGGTGGTAATCTCAATTGCAGAGTGGGGATAAACTGGCAGTGATAAAATACATTTTACTACCATATTTTCCTTGTTCAGAAACTGCATCCATTCAGGTATCTGTGTTGTCAGTGCACTGTTTGAAGCAGAAAGAAAAATGAATTTTCAGATACAGAGACAGTTTATAATCAGAACAAACTGAAAAAATAATTGGCAGCAGAGTGAAGAGGGCTTGCTGAAGACAGGCATCCTGCAGTACACGGGTCAGGATCCATCCTGCTCTGTAGCATGCAGGGCATGCAGGCACAGACAAGGAATAAACATGTATTGCCTTGTGTACCACCTGCTCAGGAAACAAAGAGAAGCTCTCAGACATCACTGCCATAGCATGACCAAGGGCTGTAGTCACTGTGCAGACCCACCTCCAGGCTACCCTGCAAGTGCAATTACTGCAGTCACATTGGCACCTAAGCAGTGCAGATCAGAACTGACTCTCTGTAGCCATTTAATGTGCTTGGGTGTTTAGCTACCTGCCAACGCTCCTTTTATAAATGTTTCATTTTCCCTTCCCAGGTAAAGTCTACAAATACCCAGTCTATGATGACTTTGACTTCAGCGAGCGGCCGCTGTTCACTCAGCCCCTGGTGAACACGTTTGCTGTGGCTGGCTACAACGCCACCCTGAACTGCAGCGTCCGGGGCAACCCCAAGGTACAGCACAGCACGAGAGTTTAACCTGACAATAAAAATTAAATGCCACTTTTATCCTTTTAACTCATGAGCCAGGCTGATGGCAAACAGACTGTGGGCTCCAAAGAATACAAAAATAAAGGAGCTGCTTACCTGTGCTACAGACACTACAATAGTTAATGCACAGATAATGCACTCAGTGAAGGGGCAGAACCTCAGGAAAAGGTTGGGCTTTGCTGGGACTCTTACTGACAACAGCTGTACGGTTAAAATATCAGTAAAAGTTGTTACTAAAATAAGGCCATAATTATTCTATAAAGAGCTCATTATCTCCAAGTAAGCACATTGCAAGAATGCTCTAGGTGCCATGCTGTTTCTCAGACCCATTGCACGATGTGTCTTGTGGGTTTTTTTAAATTGTTTCTGAGATCTTTTTTTCTGGTGTGAGAAACTGAACTGGCGTAGTAAAATGAGAAATCCGGAGTGTTGTTCACCCTTCACCTTCACAGTTTCTGACTGTGCAAATTACCGTGGAAAAAATATGTTTTTCCTATTGATTTAAAGTAATTGGATGTCAAAAGCTAATGATCAGATGTTTGCTATCATTACACAGTCCTTGTATTGAAAATAAGCTTGTATTTATGACTTTAACTAGGTGATAAGAGCGGCACTAAAAAAAAAAAAAGTGCTAAAAACCAGATATATGATGCAGCCAATGCTTATCTTCTAGTTAAGATTTACAGTTTCCTTTCTATCACTACTTCATCAATTTTTTTCTCATTTCCGGATTACTCAGCTTTAACTGAACACCACAAAATAGGGGACAAAATATTTCAGTTCACAGGTTTGTGCATTTGAGCTTTCTTTTTTGTTGTTGTTGTTTTTTTGCTGGTTTTGTTACTTTTTTTTTACCACAGCCCAAAATAACCTGGATGAAAAACAAAGTGCTCATAATGAATGACCCAAGGTACCGAATGTTCAGCAACCAAGGTGTCTGTACCTTGGAGATCCGCAAACCCAGCCCCTATGATGGAGGCACTTACACCTGCCGAGCCGTCAATGAACTGGGAGAGGCAGAGGTGGACTGCAAACTGGAAGTCAGAGGTAAGGGCTTTTAAACATTGCAAACACCCTCTTTGCCTGAGCACTGTCTACAGAGATGAAAGGATGCAAGGCAAATACAAAAGTGAGTTCAGCTTTCCTGGATCAAATCAATAGCTTTGCTTGGACAAAATAATATTGGTTGCTTTCTTTTGTTTTGTTTCCATTAATGGATAATTTTTATGAATTTCAGGCAGTTTAGAATTAACTGGGATACCATGAATGGCAACAGGACTTGGATAGGATGACTAATGAATAATCCCAGGACTATCTTTTTCAGAAAATTACTTCCTAGGAAAAGATAGGGTCATATTTAGCTGGACTAATTCCCACCAAAGGCTTAGTTTCAATTATAAATAAATTGTTTCTCAAAAAATTATTCTGAGGTTATAAGTAAGGAAAGCTGCCTAAAGCTAGCTGAGAGGAAGTGCCTAACTAAGGAATTCAGAAGGAATTTAGGTGACATCAATATGGCATTAATTACATTACTTACATCATGCTAGTCTACAATGAAAACCACATTTAAAATTTTTATGGATTGCATTGTGTTTATTTTGCATTTCAGTTTCTATTTTCTGTATTTTCTGATGTATCTTGTCCCACAGCCCAGATCTGCCAGCAAGAAGACATTTCAGTAAATGCTTGGTCTATGTTAAGTTGAACACTTAAATAATGTAATGAAAATATGCATAATGTATTTCTTGGTTTTTAGTTTTGATTTTTAAGATACCGTCTTTAAAAGGTGATGCCCTCATCCTGGAAGTAAGATTGCTTTCCCTAATCACAAGCAAACTTTCTATTTCACAGCATAACAGAAGACCTCAACACCTGAGAAGGTTGCTTTGTCTATTTTTTTAAAGTAAAAAGCCAAGTTATGTCATTAAGTAAACACAGCAGCTGAAGCTTAGCAAACCAGGATAGACTCAGGGCTTGCTCTATGCAAATATAGCTAACTACTCTTAAACAGGCAGAGTACAAAGAAATCATTACATCTTGTTTCTCTCTTCTATTGACTTACATGTTGATTTATCATCCTCTTAAGTTTCCCAGCCTGTTTATTCACTTAGGAGGGCTCCCCAGATGACTGCTCACCATGCTGATGCAGAGCAGGGACCTGTGGATTTCTGACTCACTGGAAACGACTTGTAGTGTTTGTGTGCTTGTTTTCACATGTAAAGCTTTAAACTGGTTCAGCTTTATTCCAGCAAGTAACTGTCAAGGTCTGGATTTGTAAGATGATGAGATAGAGTTGTCTGAATAAGACTAACAGGCTCAAGGCTCTGTTGCCAATCTGGTGAACATCCAAGCTATGGTGTTTCTACTACAGATAGTAGGCATGACTTACTAGTAAGCAGTGCTAGAGAGCTCTATGCCATGCAAGAGTAATTACTATAGCAAGCTATCTTTCCTTCTGCTGGCTAGAATTACTTTTAGCCATCCATCTCTGACATATTGGAGAACTTAAATTATTGTGCCTATATAAATGCTCAGCCCCAAAAGTATTTAACAGCCTAGGATTTCAGACTGTGCATAATTTTGGAACAGCTGACTAGTTAGGAATAGTCTGGCTATGAATACTATCAGTATGCTACAATTTTCTAAATTTTCAGCCATTTCCTTAGGAGTAAAATTAACACCCCTAGTTGTTGCTAGATGTAATGCTTGTTTCCTGAAAACATTTTAGTGATACTTATAAGCACAATTAAAATAATAAAAACTTACTCTGTCCTCATAAGAGGTTTTTCATGTACTGATGTTATTTCAGACACACAATCTTTTGTTCTTTGGTTTTTAGTCTGCTGAGTGAATTTAAAAATGGAAAATATGTGACCTCCTCAGTACAATTGCACATATAGTAGCTTTTTTCTGTAAATGTGTTTGTGTAAAAAGTTATGTAATAGATGACTCTTTCTCATCTATCTTGAAAGATAACAACATATGCAGAATCTCATTACAAAAAATACTTTATAGATCTTTTGAGTTTGTTGAAGTAGATCCCTAAATTTGGTTCTAAATCTCCCATTACAAGCACTAAAGAACTGATTCCTTATCAGCTTCACTGAGGTTGATGAAAAGAATTAGCTAAGGTGCTGTGCTTCTTTTATCATGGAAAATACAGCTTTGGAGAGCCTTTACCTTAGAAGTGAAATAAAGGTTGGTGATCACTCTAATAATAGGTTGATGATAGCAAAGTTGCTGTATAAGAAATTTTATTTTTAAAAGGTGTTAAGATTAACTGGGAAAAATTGCAAATGCGAATAAATACCACTATAAATATTCTAATTCTGCAGTGATCTATCATGGAGTAATTAACCCAGGAGAACCACTCAGCTTGGCGGGGGATAATCAGGTTTATAATGCGCGTACTCCTCTGGACATTCCATTTCATTCCCACCCTCTCTTTCCACAAGCATTTTCTGCATGCTAAGTGTGTATTTCTTTGCTTTTTTAGATTAAAATAGACAGAGTCTCATGGCATACATTGGCTATGTCATATGACCAAAGAAGGCCAAATTAATCAAGACAATATCCAATCATATGGATATTTAATATCAGAATTACTAAGGTTTTAGATATATTTCATATAAGTACATGTATCTATAAAGAATTTATTTAGTGACTGTGAACATGTTTGACCATAACACTTAGATCTTTCCAGGAGAAAGAAATATGCATTTTTAAAAAAAATAGCTTTCAGTTAGTTTGTAGAATTATTGAAAGACCAGAAGTATCATGAAGTCATTTGCTGCACTTAAAAGGCATTCTTTGTAATAGATTATTCTTTGGTTACAAATTAGTGCTCAGAATGATAATCCATGCCTGAACTTAACCTACCAATTTTAAGGATGAAATCTTGATTCAATTACTTACAAGCAGAAAATTTTACTTAATTTCTTCTAGAGCTTATTTTACATTCAAGTTCATTGGGGCTCAGAAAATTTTACTTTCTATAAAAATGTCTCTTTGCAATCTCGCCCAGATTCAGAATATTAACAGTGCAGGTTTAAAATGACAGTGATGCCCAGAAACTGGTCTGCAATATATTATGTATCCAGACTTACAGTTTCAGTCCTAAAACATTGATCAGACTAGATAATGTTTCTGCAGGTTTTGAAGTATTGAGGTATTTTTCTTAAAAGGCTACAATAGGTAAAAAGTTAAGTGCTTTTATAGACATAGATAAGTGTATATATATGGCTGTTCTATAGAGTCAAAATGTTTATTTAAGGGCTACTACAGAGTAAATAGCATGCTTTAGTAATGTAAATGTGGATATATGACAAAGTACATACTTCAGTGCACAGGTATGTAATTAGTCTGTACTTGATTATTTTGCCTTACAGAGTTTCAACATATATATATATATGCTTCAGTGTTATGTGTGTGCCTTTTTTTTCCCCTGGTGGAAAATATTCTATATATATATATGTGTGTGTTAGCTTCTTTGAAGCTACATTTGGAAACTTTTTTCATAAATATAATTTGGTTCCAATCTATACTTTAGACTAATTAGATGTTTTTATAGTTACTTGTACCTATTAATCTAGTTTTTACATATTAATGATAATTTTGAAGTGGAACTGGATCCCTACCTTTTACTCTTCATGTGCTTCTATTCCCACATATTTTACATGACTAAGGATTAAATTATTACCTTGACATAATTGTAATAATAATTTCACTCAACATTTTCTCTCCACTTTTGTGTTTGCAATTAAATTGTTACTTCTCTTTCTCTCTCTCCCTTAGTTACACAGTAAGGATTTTTGAATGTATATTGTCATCTAAGGTAAGCTTTCATATGGTCCTTGCATATGAAGCTTATGTCTGTTTATACGTCATACAATGTCTGCCTAGTATGGCATGATTTTCATTATGTCATTTAATGAAAATATCTTTATAAGTTAGCAGCATGATAGTTTTAAGGCATATAAATTCAGGTTTTAGTAATTGCTTGTTATGGTAATTCTTAGTAGAACATCCCATATCTTCTAATGAGGCATGTTTTAATGGAATTTAACAGTGCATGATTTAGCATGATTAATTGGCACGAATAAAATGCAAGTAATAAAAAGAGCATTATGTATTTACGGCAATTTATTTTTTATAGGAATATGCCTCTACATAAATAAAATATTTATTCCAGCGTTAACTTCTTTTAAAAATGAATGATTCGTAGCACAACTTGCACTCCATGAGCTGAAAGCATGCCAAAAGCATGCTTTTTTTCTTTTTTTTTTTCTGTCTGTATTGTGCATCTACCTAAGGTTGGGAGCGAAGTTCTGCCACAATGATGACGTTAAATGAGACAACACAGTCTCATAATCACTAGTAACTAATAGCATTTTAATTGAATAATCCTTTTGTTAATAAAGGTTGTAAGTTCGTAAAAATCTGTACTCAGCATAAATGCTGTATGTAAGTATCAGCTCAAACACATTTAGCTGAAGCATTCAGAGAGTGTTATCTTCACCCTGGCAATGTACTTTTGCTTTAAAGCTTTTGGTGTGTTCCAGAAAAAGCTCAGAAGGTAAGTGCAGCTATCAGTGGGTGGTTTGCAACTTGCAGAACACAATAGTCATGCAGATTTGTAAAGGGAATAGTAATGGTATATAGCTTTCTTAAAGCAATTTGTATGGAGAAAAGGCAGATTCTAAAGTTTTTAGCAAAATATTTATATTTTTCCTACTGTTTCTTCCAAACATAATTTCATTTCAATGAAACTAACAAGAATACTCATGTTTAATTCCCATGGCTTTTATTTCAGTTGCATGGGGCATCCACAAGCTGTATGGGCAATGTGTGCCAGGGCCTCACCACCTTCACAGTAAAGAATGTCTTCTTTGTATCTAATCTACACACTCTTTTCCAGTTTGAAGGCACCACTGCTTGTCCTATCACAACAGGCTCTTGCAAAATGTCCCTCTCTAGCTCTCTTGTAAGTTCCCTTTAGGTACAGGAAGGTGCTCTGAGGTCTCCTTGGAGCCTTCCCTTCCCCAGGCTGAACAACTCCAACAAAAAGTGGAATTTTGAAGTGAATTTAAAAGCAAATCCAAAATGATTCCTCAGACTTACCCAGCAGACGAAAATTTCAGCTTTCATCATCTCTCTCTCTGGAGACTATATCTGAAATCCTGGCTTTTTTAATATGATTCTTTCATGTATATCATCCCACTTGTTATTTTCAAGCAACATGGTAAATATTTTGCTAAATACCTATAAACCATTTTAAGACACAAAACTAGAATTAACTGAATATCTCTGCATGTTTTCCACAACTCATCCTGGTCAGTGTTTTCTACATTGTTCCCCCTGCACTGACTTCCATCTGTGACCATGCTCCACCCAGTGCGATGGAAAGCCAGGAGAGTTATTTGAAGTGAAGCTTTTCATAAACTATTGCATGTGGTGAGATAAAAGACTGAATATATGATACCCTAGAAATGAAATTCACCCTGCACAAGAGGACAGGAAAGGTCTGTATAGTGCCAATTAAATAATGGTTCAATGTCATACTGGACTATTGAGCAGGGCTGAATTTTACAACATCTCAAAGTATGCAATAGGGACTGAGTAAAACTTGTCACTTATGCCAGAGAATAAAGGTGCAAAGCTGTTGCTCCAGGGACCTTCAACCTGAAGATGACCTGTTTTCCTTGTTTGTAGGTGGGCTTTCGTTCTTCAAGCTATTAATGGATGGAGTGCCTCCGCATATCATTGACTCGTATATGCGTGAAGTGCAGGCAGACAAAACTGAAGGGAAGTGAGAGTCCGTCCACAGCACTTCCTCCCACTGCACTGGAAGCTGGTAGCAGAATAACAACATTTTAGTTCTTGCAACGACAGAAAAACATGTGCAGTGGGGGATTTTATTACTTTTTTTTTCTTTTCTTTAATTGTCCTTTTGTTTTCCCTACCTGCTCTTACTGAAAAGAAAGAATACGCATGGATTGCTTTGAGGTTGAAATGAAATGAACTGAAGACAACACACGTTTTGTAATGTTCAGCTTTATTTTCTGTTTGATATCATGTTCTGTTTTTTAATGAGGAAAGAGGGGAAGCTGTGTAACAAGCATAAGGAGGCAGTCAGTCTGTACTCAGTGGTACAAAGCATATCTTTCTCAGACTGGAAGTACATGGGTTAGCCAGTAGATGTGCAATAAGATCCTTGGAATACATACCTCTGATAATGTATCTTATTCACCTGAGAATTGTTTAACAGAATATGGTTTTACTATAATGTAACTAATGCATATGTAATTAATGATCATTTAAGCTGAACATATCTTCCTATAGAAGTTTTGATTTCCTAAATCCGACCCATCAGTCTCTCAACTGAAATAGTTTTATTTAATGTACAATAAACATGAAGTGTTTAAGATCTATTAAGTTCTTGTTTACTTTTTTTCCCTGTCTTATTTTACCACATTTCTTGTTTTATTTCCATTTACAATAAAGCAGGAACTTGTGCCCACCATATGGAGGGAAAAACAGTATCAGCAGTCACCTAATCCCTAAGCTGGCTAACACCTTCAGATACATGACACAGAATGTGAATGGAGATAAATGCTACAGATACATGCAACTTTTTATCTATGCGTTTTCAATATTTTAAATGTGATAAATGCCAACCATGACAGCTTTCACCATTCTGGATCCACTCCCTTTCCCGAGGAATTCATGGAGCTCTTGTAGCTGTCACATTAGAAAAGGAACTCAGCACTGGTGAGTTCACTGTGCATGGCAAAAGCATCTGAGATAAGGTAGAATGGCTACATTTCGTCTCCAACTCCAGCATCATTAACCTCAAAGTTCTTTAGGAGAGGGGGTCTCCAGCAAACCCTGAAGCATGTGAGACACAAGGTCACACGTATTTTGGCCAGGCTGTCAGTTCCCTATTGCCTTGTCATTTATTTACCAGTTCTCACTCTGGCTGTACAAATAGGGCAGGTTATGTGCTCACTGGCTAATGACTGATCTCCAATTACGGTTAATAAAGATAAAGGCCTACTTAGACCAGTAGTATATCACAAGATGTTTATTTGATGTCAGTGCATTTTCAAACATTCAGCAGTCAGTAATTATGCAATAATAAAAGAATGTGTTACTCTGAACTGCAACAGCTGAAGTGGTGTTTTAACAGTTGTGCTTTTGCTTTGGGGATCTGAGTGCATTTTCTCACATTGTTCTGTGAATCTTACTCTGAGAAACAGAGAGAGGTAGATAGATAGATAGATAGATAGATAGATAGATAGATAGATAGATAGACAGACAGATAATTTTTCTTCCTTTTTATCTTTGTGATTTCTTCTGTAGTGCTATCTGTGCAGGGAAGCAATTCTGCATTCACAGTGATCCTTGACACCCCCCACACCCCACATACATTTCACCCTGCTTCTGCCACAATCAATCCTCTCCTACACATTGATTCACACCTACATGTGAAAGAAAGCAAAACATCTACTAGGAAGAGAATTTCATACAGGATTGATAACTTCTGTTCATTCTGTATCTCACCAGTGAATTGAGACTCCCTCCATCTATTTTGAAGCACAGAAAGCTGCAGGAGGAGGTCAGTTTGATTAAATGCCATAGAGGTTTAAGCATTTAAGCACATGGCCCTCATTACAGCAGTATCAGTGTGTTATAGTCAGCACCAAGAGCTATAGTTATTGTGAATTTGTGCTTGTCAGTAAGCCCAAAAATGAGGCACACAGCCATCTGCACTTTGTCTGAATAACGTTTACAGCTTCAAGCTTGCGTTTATCTGCCTCCTCAGTCTTAATATCCCACATATAATAAACTAGAAGCCAGCATAACCTCAGTTTCTGTGGGCTCTCTGCGGATGGAATTAGCTACTCTAATTTCCCCCAGATGCCAGCGTTGTTAAACGACAAGCTGAACTAATCTCCTTTTCCCTGTGTGAACAGTAAGCGTTGTACTCGGTGCCCTCAATTCCTCTCCCCTTGTGTAGCCCGGCATTTGCCACTGGCCATCCCTCGGGCTGGGGATGCACCACATGGGGATGCCAGCCGGAAACACAGGGCATGGGCCGTGGGTGGGGCTGAGAGGAGGGGGCATTAATGTGCTCTGACTACATTAATGTACTACGGCTACAGCGAGCAGCCGCCACTCTGGATTAAGAGATAAACGACTTTCAGAGAAATGGCTGCGTGGGACAGGACAGGGGCTTCTAGTGATTAAAAACAGGCTGCAGAACCTTATCTAGAGAATAACAGAAGGTAAAGTTTTGATTGATGACAATTTGCTCTATAGGATTCTCTAAGGATGATGTTTGATGGATGTAACAGTGACCAAACCCACAGAGTTAGGAAAATGCTAATGAAATCTGCAGTTATTAACAGTTTAGGAAAATAAAGAGGCACCTAAGACAGCAACTTCAGGAAAAGCAACTTAGAGGGAACAGAAGCAGCAGAATATGCTGTAGAAGATGTGGCACAATGCTCCAAAGAAATTCCTCAAAAGCCACAGAGGCTTCCAGGTAATTAATGAACCTGAAAAAGACCTAGGAGTAACAGAGGACAGCAAATACATGTAAACATACATAGATAGATGCACAAAGATGAATCAAAGTTAATTCTAAAATTTTTCATTTATTTTTAATGAAGACAGAGGAAAATATTTGATCTTCTCATGGCTTTCTTTCTTTGCCCTTGGAAGGTTATTTGGCACATAAATGTAGAAATACAGCTCCATTCTCAAATTGGTGTATGTCAATACAGGCACTGCAGTTACCCATTAGCATTGAAAGAGCACAGTTACTGATAGCACTTCTCCCTTACTGAAAACAGTCTCACAAATATAAAGGAGAGGAAGAAAGAAGAGACAAGAAATCTTTAAATTTTTTTAAAATTTAAGTTTAATAAGGTCTTTATGGAAAGTCAGAAATTTTAAAAAGTATTCCTTTTATAAGGCATATTTCAAGCTTCCTGAACTTCCTTTAAGGGGAAAAAAGAAAAGTATAATAATGGTACCTTTTACAGAGCATTGTGAAGGGACCCTTACTTCATGAAAGTCTTTTGTTGCATTTTGAGATTCTGGAGCAAAAGGCATTCTATTTTAAGCACGATGTACTTACTGTCACTTGACTTTCATGTCCTGCTTTCCTGACTGACAGGTAAAGCTGCTGCTTTGGAAGCAAAACTGTATCCTGAATACTGAGGAAGCACTGGAAGACTAAACAAGCTGGACTTAAAATTCTGTGTTCTCTTATTCTCTGCTTTGTTGCTGAATACTTTTGAAATTAAAACAAACTCCTCCCCAAACCCAGTGATAAATTCAGTAGGGAATTTCTTTCTTCTTCTAACATGGCCCTTGCTTTTTATGCCAATTACTTCCTCCTTCACTTCTTTCCCTAGTTTCTCTTCTTTTCCTCCAGGTATCCAAAGAGCTTGAGCAATCTCCCCATAAATACCAGTTCTATTATGCTCATTGATCACAGCTTTTCCTTCTGGCCTCACTCAGAAACCACACACCTTCCTGGAGATTCAGGGATACACCTAAAATCCTTCACATAACCAATTCAAATAACTAGATGTGCCACAATTTCTGAAAAGGCTCATTTGTTTTGAAGCACCCTCTCTAAGCAGGTCAAGGGGAGGTGAAGTCCTGTGTAACGCCGTATGCAGGTGCTCCGTGACATGTTGAGACCAGAACTCCCCAGGCAAGGGTCTCCTCCGGGTGGTGGAGGGATCCTCGGGTGATACCGTGGGGTCACCTCCCTGCAGCCAGGAAGACAGGGCAGTCGTGCCTGCAGGGAGCTCACCTGCTGCTCAAACGCTGCCTTTATGCTTTGCTCCAGCAAAAATCCTTCTGGCCACCTGCTGCGTGCACCTCTGCTAGGGCTACTGTCTGCACGGTAAGACCTGTGAAAGGGAAACAAGGCGAACGAGGGAAATGACGGCTGAGAGCGGCGCCCATTCATTCATCCATGCGGAGATGAGAGGTGCGCGCATCTCCCCGGGGCCGGCGCCGGGCCCCGACCGCCCGCGGCCTGGGAGCGGCGGGACGGGCCCTGCCGGCCGCACCCCGCCACGACCGAGGGCTTCCCGGGCACCCCCAACCCCACACGGCCAGGCGGAGCCCTGCCCGCTACGGGGCTGGGGCCGCGCATTCGGGGCCAAGGAGCCCAAGCCGGGCCGGGGCGAGGGCGTTCGCCGCGCGTCGGCCGAGGCGGGGGCGGCCGTTCCCCTCCGGCCAAGCCGCTGTTGGGCGTCGGCCTCTTCCGCCGCTGCCCCCGGCTCGGCTCAGCCCCGCCCCGAGCGGCGGCGGCTCCTTGACCCCGGTGCCGTCTGTGCCGGTGCTGCGGGCATGGTCGCGTCCTGGGCGCTGCCCGCGCCCCTCAGTCCGGCGCAGCTGAAGCGCCTGGAGCAGCACCGCTACAGCGCGGCTGGGCGCTCGCTGCTGGAGCCGTGGCTGCAGCCCTACTGGGGCTGGCTGGTGGAGCGGGTCCCGCGGGGGCTGGCGCCCAACGCCATCACCATGGGCGGCCTCCTGCTCAACTGCCTGACGGTGCTGCCTCTCATCGCCTGCTGCCCCAGCGCCACCGAGCAGGTACCGCCCGACACGGCTGCGGCCGCGGCTCGGCTCCGCCGCTGCCTCCTGACAGCGCCCGGAGCCGGGGAGCCGTGCCCGCCGTGCCCCGTCACTTCGGGCTCCGCCGCAGCGACAGGCATGGCCCGTTCCTTGGCAGGGAGGGCTAAGGCAGTGCTGCTGAGGGGCTGTCCCGAGAAATCGGGGCGCGGTGACGCGCGGCGCACCCTTTGGGGCAGCAGAGGTCAAGCCGGAGATGGGTGTTGAGGTTGGAATGCCCAGATGCTGTAGGGATCACGTGGAAGGAAGAGTTCAGCGGACGAGATGCGGCCCTTCAGTGCCCAGAGGGCCCCGTGGGGCCGGCGCGTTGGGGTGTGTGGTGGGCACCTGGCCTGCGGCTGCACGCTGTGGTGCGAAGGGCTCACCTGCGCCGTGGGACCCTCGCCTCCCCCCCGGCCCAGCCTGCATTCCATGTGCGTGCCCCTGGCTGGGAAGGGAATGTCGCCCTCCTCAAGAGTGTGGTTGTCACACAGGGGCCACGGACGTCGAAACAGCAGCTGGTCCTGATAGAAGGTGTGGGATGTGACCAAGAGCAGGGCTGGTCCATGAGACATGGCTGATGCCACTGTGCCTGGGTTGGATAACAGGTGTGTTAGCTGACAGTAGCTCAAATGTTTCCTGTCCTTGTTGGAAAACATTTAATTGCTTCTGGAGGGAAAATAGGCATGTTAACGTGGGCTGGTGCTGCTCTCACTTGAACTGCAGTGCCTCCAGTTTCTCAGTCGGTTTCAGGAGCTCTATCAGTTTCTCAGCCTGTTGCAGGTTTCCCATTGCAGTCTTTATGGAGTTAGGGTAGGAAATAGCAAGGGGAGATTGATTTATGTGGGTAAAATACCTTGAAAGGTGGCCGCTGTTTTTCTTGTGTTCTGATGGACTTAAATCCTAACAGCAAAGGTTGGCAGTTGGTTGGGACTTTTTTAATATCCTAGCTTTACCCAGATAAGTGTTCTTGTCAGAAGAACATTTTCTCTAGTTGCTTTGCCCTTTGTAATAGCAGAGGTATTTGTGGCAGACATACCAGGAAACTTATTCAGATCGAAATTAACTTCAGTTTGATCTCTCCCTAATCACTCCCCTGATACACATCACCAGATATAGGCACTCAGGCGTTGCAGCCAGTAGAAGGGAAGACAGATGATAATGAATGACTGGAAGCTACAGATGGTCTTCTAGTCGCACTTTCATAATTTAAATGCCTGTCTACTGCTACCTTTAGCTTAGTTTTGTGATGAAAATATCAGTTGTGCCAGCTATATATCTGAATGCTTATTTTAGCTTTTTCTCTTTGCTATTTGAAACTAAAAGCAGAAAGTAAATTTTACTTAAGTTATTTTTCCCTTGAGGACCCTTGTACAAAAAGAAAAAAGTTGTGTTGCAGATATCCAGGGAATTATTCCTTCCAGGAAAACTTAAGTTGGGTTTTCGGAAGTTTTCTCTTTGAACTGTCCTTAATTTTTTTTTTTAATTGTGCAAGCTGGATTTTATAAGAACCTGTAGTTTGGACTGTACTTTTATGTTCAGATACCAATATATCCTTTATAGATATGCAGTGTGGACTCAGCTTTATCCTGTTGTTTTGTTTGTTGCTTCTGCTCTATGAGAATAGCCCTGATTTTTCTCTTGCTGCATCATTTAGAAGCATCATTCTCTCTCCAGCTTTTTAATGACTCAGCTTGTCTTCTACCTAAGTTGAGGGTCATATTTCTGGATGGCTTTTTGAAAAAGTTAAAACTGTTGCAACACTAACAGGTGCTGTATGAACTGTTGTAATACCTACTTTGTAGTTTTGACTGGAATGTGTAGGCTGGAAAGCATAGGTGGAGGTGAAAATTATGTTGAAGATGGTTGAAATCACAGACTGAACTAACACCGTAGTGCATTTCAACAGAACCTCTTTCCATCGTGAACATGTCTTGATCACCTGATGGACAAACAAGAATAAAATAACAAGCAGGTTTGGGTTTTGATGTGTTTTGGGTTTTTTTTTAACTGGCCTATGTGGTTGTTTTTTATTCCCTAACCAATCTTAAGTGGGCCATTTTGGTTAAGCCTTTATTGAAAACACAAAAGTCTTGATGTTTGTACAAACCAAACAAAACAAGTAAGCCTGGTAGTTCAAATCCCTCGAAGAGCAGCTGCTAACATATGCTTAGAAATGAGATCTTTCTCCAGTATTCCCTTCCAGCTGCCAGAAAACTGTGGTTTAGCAGTTTCTTTGCAAGGGATTCTGTTCGGGTCACTTACTAGAAAGCAACTGACAGATCTGTTTCCCCACAGGCACTTTCCACCTCATGATTTTGCCTTTTGAATTAGTTATTTGAACCTGTAGTTTGTTTGTACTTTGAGCTTCTATTTTGTTCTATTGCAGTGATTTCCATGATTTCACACTGCTTATTCCCAAGCCCAATGTAATTAATGTCTCAAACCACAAAATGCTCTCTTGTTCTCCTAACATGGAACCATTATTTCCCTATACACTACCCTTTTATGTTCATCAGTATCAGTAGCCACTAAAAGCCAGTTTGTTACTGACTGGCACAGTATGTTTTGGAATTATAAAATATTGTCTGCTTCAGTAATGTTTCCTTGCCTGGCAGGAACATGGTTTGTACCACTGCCTCCTGTAAGTGCATGTTTCGACACAAGCTTTCTTATTTACAGCTAAGCCATTAGCAGGTTGCACCCCTCAGGCATTGTTGTAACCATGATTCACATGTACATTTTTATCGAGTGTTTGTTCAGTTTCCTAATCTCTGTAATTTAGGACAGCAATCAATAAAAACAGTATACAGGTGTGGTGGTGGAGAGGCCACCACCTGCATGTTTCATGTTCTGTGGAGCACTGAAATACTGTTTTCACTGTGTCTGCAACCTGGGTTGTGTTCCTATTCCTTTTTTTTTTTGGGGGGGGGGGCACTCAATAGGAAATACTTAGGAATGAAAAGTCTTGCTGACATTAAGTAAGAACATTGTGTATCTGGTGCACTAGAGTGCAAAAGGATCACTTTTTAGGTGAGGATTTCCATTTTATCACCACCCTAAGACAGTGAATTGTTTTGCTCTACTGCCAGCAGGCTTCTCTGAAGCAGCTAGTCAATTCATAAGGCTTTGCAGGGGAATCTTGCATGTCCTTCCCCTTTCTGGGGAACACTGACTAAACATCATTTTATTCTGAAAAGGGAGAAAGAAAACTTTGATCCTCTGCTTTCATGGTTGCTCGTGGAGGGGTCTAGCTTTGGTAATCCTTCAAGATCAGCCACAGGTCTCTCTGAAGTCATAGAATAGCTGGGTGGAAGAGACCTTTAAAGGCCATCCTGTCCAGCCTCTCTGCCATCAGCAGGGACATCTTCAGCTAGAATGGGTTGCTCAGTCTTGTTCAGCCTCTCCTTGAGTATTTCCAGGGATGGAGCATCTACCACCTCTGTGCAACCTGTGCCAGTGTTTCAAGACTCTCATCATGAAAAAAAAAAAAGTCTAAATCTGCCCTCTTTATAAAGTCGTAGAATTGTAGAATGGTTTGAGAAGCTAGAATTTTAGACAGAAGTGCATGCTAACTGTAATTATTACATTGTATTGAATTGTAACTGTTTGAAAATTAATCTAGTAGCACTTACAGCATGATCTAAGCAAAGAACTGAGGAAGACAGGAAGAGAAAAGCATGGATTATGGATTTGCTTTTGGGACAGAGATAGGAAAAGGGGGCAGGGGCCTAAGGGTTCTCCTGCAGAGAGCTAAGGGAAGGGAGACTTGTGGTGGCTAGCTCTGTAGGATTGTCCAAGAAACAGTGTAGTGAGTTTATAAAAGGCTGTCATACCTTGCTGAAATGTGCTGTTTAGAAAGCCATACGTTTAGGGAGACCAAAAAGCAGGGAAGGGTCTAGGTGACTTCACCTGGCTCTACTATCAGCTGTTTGGAGAGAGAGGAACATTGATGAGGTGCTGTCTCTGCCTTTCTCTCTCTTTTAAAAAAACAGCAGCAAACCCAAACAATCAGCTGAACCACCTTTAAAATGAAAGAGGCCTGATAGAGGGCAAAATGAGAGGAAGATATTAACAGATATGATGTTATATAAACAGCCGGGGCATCGCTGAGCTTTGTGAGAGAGAGAGAGAGAGAGAGTAGAGAAGTAGAAAAAGTTGAACTGGATCAGCTGGTATGAACAGGGCATGTGTGTGGGGGGACAGCATGAAGGAAAAACCATTACCTGACTTGGTAAAGAAATGGGAAGCACAGAGTGGAGTGGGAAATTCAGCTAAAACCCACAAGTGGGGAACATATCAGTTGTGAGTGGGAGAAAAAGAGTTTATTTGGGATGAAGTAAGAAGGTACAGGAATCCTGATACAGAAGGATGGGAGCTCTTTTAGACAGGGCTTGTTGGAGAGACAAGGATGCTAAAGGAATGCATAGTCCTTGGTATGCATGAAATGCACTTGGACTATGGTACGATTATTTGATTATTTATTTTTTTCATCCATGCTGTCTTCCCTGCTGTAGTTCAGGTTTGAACAGCCTCTTCCCTCATCTTGCTATTAGTACAATTGTACAGTGCTTTGTGCTAAACAGAAGCATGAGAAATGACCCATGCTTGGGGGTAGAGAAGGGGGAAAGTTGGTCAAAATGTCTCTGTCTATTCTGGATCTGATCCAGAGAAGGGGCCATGTAAACCAAGGCAACACTATTAGGTGTGGATCGAGGAAGTGAGATTATGGCTAAACGTGATGAGTAATTAAGGAACTGAATCTTTAAATACTGCAAAAGCTTAGCCTGTTGAACTCTCTAGACTTGAGAACTGTGCTTGAAACAAGTTCTAAGAGGTTCCTCTGACACATGTAGTCTTTTGCAGCTGTCCATGCTCTTTTGTGGGGTGGAATCATGGGAGCAGAAGAATGCCTGCTGTTTAACTCCCATTTTTTCCTAAAGGCGAAGGTTGTCACACGTACCTGTCAAACACTACACTATATGGCTTTGTTTTGACATGTTCTGGGTCAGTAAATGACCAATTCTACTGTATTGAATCTGTGTGACAGGATTCTGGGGTTGTGGTATCTTCAGACATCCCTTTGAATTGAAGCAGAGAAGCATCCTTGTCTCCCTCCCTACCTCCTCCCCATCAGGTTTCTGTTCTCTTCTAGTTCCATGAGAATAACACCTAGGTCTGGCCAACTAATACATTGGCTTGGACAGGATATAACTCTGGGCAGAGATAATTAACACCTCATTAGTGAAAAGCTGATGATTATGGGGAGCCTCCTGACCTTTCTGTTCAGCCATGTCAGCATTCTCAGATGCTCCCACTTCTCTAATTTGAAAACTACTTGGGTCCAGTGTGGGAAGCCATCAGGGGACATCCCTAAATGGGCAGCCAAGCACATGAGAAGGCAAAGGAGATAGCAGCAGGAGCTGTATTGGGAGAGTGGATAAAGAAAAGAAAAACCATGGTTATTAAGAACCTTTGGTGTTTTGGAAAACTGTTTTACCAATTCAAACATTAGAGCATTCATTTAATCTGCTAATAGTTGATCACAAGTGAATTTTGGTTCTTGCCACTTTGGGTTAGATTTGAACTGACTGCCTAGAGATGAAATGCTCCAGATAGTGCTTCTAAGATCTCTGATATATGCTAATCTTACTAGGATATTTTCCCTTTTTTTTTAAACTGTGGGGGATACTGATATGTCTGCTACAGGTGCTAATGGATACAGATGATCATTATTGGGAAGCAGATGAAAATGCTCACCCTTGGTTCACATCAGCAAGGGGCAGACAGAGTGCTGTCGTTCTGGAATCTGGAGGGACTATTGCATTGATTTGTCCCAGAAGGAACTAATGCAAACAGACTTGGATCACCCTGAATGATCCTACCTGTACCATAACTTGCAACTGGAAAAAAGCTATTGCTATGTCAGAAAGACCTAATAGGAGAAGTTTGAGTTAAAGCTGATGTATTTGTTTATTTTTGCATATATAATGTTACACTTGCTTTACGAGAAGCTAAATGTAGATCTCAAGGTATCTTTTCATAATTAATGGAAGTATGTCACTGTAAGGACACCTCACAAAACACTGCAGATGACCTTTGTGGCACTTCACAGAGATACTGGTGATAAAATCGGCAATGTTTTCAAATACTCCTTTAAAAGACAGCAGTGAAAACAGTGATTTCTCATGACCTTTCTGTTCACAGGTCTGGAGCTGCTGTGTTTGAGATTCTCTGTTATTCTCCATGTAACAAAGTTTTTCTGAAAGCCAGCGTACGTACTGTGGATACATACTTTAATATGTGGATTACATCACAACTAAAATTATCTAAACTTCAACAAAGTCCGTAAAAAGTGCTTTTATGTTTGAAGTACCCGAGCAATGACTGACAGCTCTCTGTTTTTGAAGGGTGGAAAACAAGTGGAGGTAGCTGCAGTCCCCCTGCACAATGTGAGACCAAGTCAGCTTGTGCCATGAGAATCCTTGAGTTCTTCGTGCCTCCTTGGGGCTTTTGGTGATCCTGGGGTAACCACAGGCACCTCCTGTTTTCCACAGGATCTATCCTTTCCCCTTCAATAGAGGAGTTAATTTTTTTCAAAAGGTGGCTAAAAATTCCCTTCCTGATTTAACCCCATCCTCCAAGACAAGATTCCTTTTTGTAACTAGACTAAAAGGGAGGAGAAACCTAAGAAACTTGACTAATTCCATCAGTAAGCATCAAACTCATTGCTGTCATCACTTGACATGGATTTCTATAGTGTGATCTTTGCAGAAGTTATCAAATACCAGTATAATAAATGTCCATTGGAATAAGAGTATCTCCTCATCCTCATTCATCTGCTTAATGCTTCCTACAGGATCTGTGCTAAAAATTTTTCTTGGCTTCCTTGGATTAAGGGAGGAGTCAGCCTGCCAGTTTTGAAGAATGTTTTCAGTTTTCTTGATTTTCATTTGCATACAATTCCAGAGCTTGCAGCTAAAGCGAGTTCCTCATTCTTTCACTGTCTTTTTCTTCAAAGCTGGGTGAAGCAGCCTACCATTTTACTTTGTTAACAGTGTATCAGCCAGCCTGAAATGCATGAGGAATTCTTAAATAAGAGCAAAAATGCTATTCAGAATTGGACTTTGCTTAAGCATGTTGCTGCTTAATGTGTTTTGCGAGCAGTCTAACTGCAGGCGTAACTTTTTTTCTAGCTCAAGACAAGGAGTATGATGATGAGACTTCAGAATGTCTGGAGGAGCAGCTGCACCTCATCTGTATTCTTGCTGCTGCTTTTGAACTGATGGATACCTGCCATTTCCCTTCTTCCCCAGCAGTGACAGAGTTTAGTTGAGTGTGGACAAATCTCAGCACACTGAGATCTGATCTGTTGTCTAATCTGCTTAATAGCCCTCACTGGTCTTAGGAAATACATGGACACGTTAGTCAATTTGTGCTGCAGGAGAGGAGTTGCAGAAGTGTAGCAGCACATAGCTGCTGTCCCTTAGCAGAGAGTGGGAAAGGATTCAGCTCTGTGACTGCCTGTGGGTGTTTGCTTGTTTAATCTGCAAGTTGCATTTCCACCATTTTTACCTGACTTTGTTTTCATTAACAGTAATCCTGAATGCTAAGGGTACCTCTGGAGACTATATGAGGCAAAAATGTTGCCTGTGCTTTGTTCCAAAGGTGTTTTAAATAATTTTTAACAAAACCTAATTCCTAGATTTTGCCAGACTGACTGTGCATATGAAAACAGTGCTTTTGAAAGGAATGACTGCAGAACAGTTCCTTTGAAACTAAGAGTGGTGTTAATGTAACGGCTTGGTTTGAAACTGATGGTGTATATTAAGTAGATAGTTTCTCCTTCATATTTAGTGAATTACTTAATTTTTTAAATCTCTGCTCAAAGTGCCTAGGTAGTCAATTTTTGTGTGTTGGAAAGAATATCTTTCTCCAAAGGCTGAAGTCTTTATTTAGTAAAAAACTTAGTGGGTTTTTGTATCTATATGTTGTAAATATGAGCAAATCATCTAAGTGTCTGTCACACAAACTGCAGAAAGCTTTAGTAAGTGCATTGCTACTACTTAATTTTTTGAAGATTTTTATTTTTCTAACATTTTTCAGCACAAAGAATGCAAATAATTACAGAAATACTGTGAGTTTAAGGTAGAAAAGTCAGTCAGTTGATGCAGAAGAGAGGCTAAAGTTTTGGGTTTGTTTTTGTTGAAATAAATAGAAGGACCTGTGTTCCATTGGTGTATCTGGAGTAGTTTATTACAGTAGTTACTGCAAGCCATGTAGCAATTACTGCAAGGTGTTTGGTTTGTCCATTAATTAAGTAACAAATAGCACAATATAGTCGTTTTGTGGTAACCATTATTTTACCTTTTATGAAACAGATTATCCCTAAGAAATTGGGAACTACCTGGTGATCTTTTATGTGAATCTCTTTCAGGCACCTTTTTGGGCATACATCCTGGGTGCACTAGGACTTTTTATCTACCAGTCTCTGGATGCCATTGATGGGAAGCAAGCCAGAAGAACAAACAGTAGTTCTCCTCTCGGAGAACTCTTTGATCATGGTTGCGACTCTATTTCCACAGGTAGCCTTAACTTATTGTTACCCATCCTAGTTTATAGAAGTTACCTGTTTTCAGGAGCAGATGATTAATCACAGACTTGTTTAAGTTGAAAACAACCTCTGGAGCTCATCTAGTCCAAACCCCTGCTTGGAACAGGGTCTTTTAAGATAACTTCCCCTGACCAGTAACAGTGGGGTATTTTAGAAGTTCTTTGGCAGTTGTTGGGTAAGATGGATTCTGCTCTTACTTAACTGTGCATCTTCACATACTCCACTTTAGGAGTAAGGTGCCGAAATATCAATTTGGTAATAGGGCATCCAGCCTGGCACTTAGGAGAAGGGTAATTTATATTCCTTACAAGAAGTAGTTTTTGAAAAGTTGGGAGTCCTTAAAAAGTAAGCCTTGCTCAGTTTCACTTTCCATAGCTGAGCTGCTGTTGCTTCTAATGCATGTAGTTCTGTAAAGCTCAATGGCTGAAACAGTTGCTCTGGGAATTGGAAGGTTCTTTTTGTCTCACTTTCCAGAGAAGTGCAGCTCCCAGTCCCCCTGAACTTGGCTCTTCAGCTGAAGTTGTCGGTGTTGCAAAAAACACGAGATGACAAGGCCAGGAGGAGGAGGGAGAGCAACCACTCTAGACTAGAGGGCAGGGCCCTGCCTTGGCAGAAAAGGAGTGCTGTGTTTTGATTTTTTTCTGCCAGAACTGCCCCTGAGGGTCAGCTACTCCATGAAGTATCAGTCATAGCATTACTTTGTTAGAGTGATGTAAAATGTCCTGTGTTTTTGTTTATTTTTTTTTTTTTAATTCTCTTCAAATAACATGACTAACATGTTCACTTCTGCTTTTCAGTATTTGTTGTCCTTGGATCCTGCATAGCAATCCGACTGGGAACAAATCCTGACTGGTTGTTTTTCTGTTGTTTTGTGGGACTGTTCATGTTCTATTCTGCTCACTGGCAGACATATGTATCAGGCATACTAAGGTTTGGAAAGTAAGTAGAAATCTTTAGAAGTATGTGTGGCTTAATGTCTGAGATTCCTTGATTTCAGTTTCTTCTTCATTTACTCCCTGCCTTGCCTTTCTCTCACCTTCTTTCTCATCTCCCTTCCAGTCTAGCAGACTTGTGTTTTACCTGACAAGAACTTGAAACTCTGCATAATACTGAGGACGTATTGTTTTAGCAGCTGATTTTAACTCTATATGCTTTGTTTGCATGCATTTTGCTCTTTGTCTGCAGATTTGTTGGCAGAACCCATACAAACACCGTGCAGGCTCAGGCCAGAGAGGTCTTGTTTACATTGCAGACAAGTGTCCTGTGTAGGAGTACTGACAGAGCAAGCAGCTGGGTACCTCCCTTTGAAATCTCACAGCCATAAAGTGCTTTCAGCCCCAGGGGACTCTAAACCACATGCGTTTTAGAGAAATTCCCCTGCTAATGGGTTTCCCTAATGAACTCGATGCACCCGTTGCATCCTCAAGGAGTTCCACAGATCTATGACAATGCTTGAATAATTACCTCATGTTTATGTGAGGGCCTTTCTTTTAATCTGGCTCGTACTGGCTTTGGTGTCCTTTAGGTTTTGTGTTAGGTCAGTTCTAGAGACTGCTGTGATGCTGTTCATGACTTGATAGAAATTTTATTTGTTTCACTGCGGCATAGGAGGACAAGTCATGACATTCATGTAGAAGACAGTGATTTCAATTTAACTGCTAATAGTGGAGAGATTGCTGCACCCTCCTATAGCTGTGGTAGTGCCTGGCCATGGCCTGTTGCTGGTTTTAAGCAACAAGCTTCATTTTAGTATAATTACTTGTGAAAAGAGGAAAAGGTTTGATACTTCTGTGACAGCAGAACTGAAAATATGTGATACATGAAGGCTGTCCTGCTAATCCCAGTCACTGGCTAAATCACCTGTTTATAGTCCTACTTAGCTCTGCCCTGCAAGAAGTGACTTAGCAAATCAGCAAGCACACAGGCTGGTGACCAGCACACTGCATCAAATGCAGCTGTCTCTGTGATATTGATAAGAGCTCTTTTTGATTTGCTGGTATTGCATTTTACCACACAAACTGTAATTCTTCTGCCTGCCTGCACATCCTATTATTTTTAAAGGACATCTTGTGCTGTAAACAAAAAATAGGTGTTTTACAGTGATGGCTGAAATAGGATACTTTCTGTCGATGACTGTAGGCTGCTCTGAAGGGAGGTGGACTAGGCCATGAGCTCTGGCCTTTTGCAGACATGACTGCTTTTCTGTACCTTTTATTCTTGCAAAAAGCATTATTTCCCCACATCTGGAAGGCACTGAGACTCCTTTACCACATAAAGATTTTGTTAAAAACTTGGTGACTTCTACTTTAACATAATGGTAGTGCATAGTACCAACAGCTCAGAATGGCCTGGTGTTGCATGGTTACTGTTTAAAGTTAAATAGACACAGCTTTTCCACAAGAAAACTTAATTCTGTCCAGTGAAAACAGGCCACAGTTTTTTTTCAAGGCTCCCAATTTTGTTTCTCTAAAATATAGAGGTGTGAAGAAGGCATTAGTATAGTGCTCTAAATATGATGGTAAATAATAAGATGGATGGAAGTTTTCACTGATGCTATTTCTCAATTAGCAGCACTCGCTTTTAGAAATAAATCAGAAAAGAGAGATTCCTAGTGCTGATGGCCAGGAAGGATCAGAGAGCTGAATAATATGACACTGTGAGGTTGTGGAATACTGTACAGTGTCTGAGTAGTCTTTGGACTCTGACTTGGACTCTGTTGCTACCAATAATCTGAACCATTGTAAAATAATTAAACTTTGGCACAACCTCAAGTTTGAGCCTCCTCCCACCACCAGCAACAACAAAGACAATGCAGATTAGAAATCCTGGTGTTAATATTACAGAGTGCAACCTCTGAACACTTGCACATGAGTGCTTTTGCATAAGGTAACCGGCAAGTTCAGCAGTGGATGGGTGGATGTAACACTTCATCCCTGGCAGAGAAGGAAGAGCCCACTCCCAGCCCCATTGTCCTGTGACACTCTGTCATTGGACCTCAGGCCACTTCATGAAATGGGCAGAAGGTGAAAAGCCTACACTGGACTGGCAAGCTGAACTGGTTCACCTTACAGTCCAATGAGCACTACAGTAAATAAAAACAAGGGAATACAACACCTTAGGAAGAAGAGGATTCCCCATTCTTTTGGCTTTAAGAGGTGATGGGCAGCTCAGTTTATCATCTAGCTGCAGTTGAAACTCTGGATCCTCTAAGAGTCACAAGAGTGTGATGACATGTAGCATATTTTATCACCATCTTTCTGATGAAAGAAGAGAGTTTTAACTGAGATTATCAAGCTCTGATAAATGTTTTCCATTACCCAAGAGATGATTGCTATCTCCTTTTAAAAATTCACTGTTTCCTGTGCAGACAGGTCATATGCTAAGTAAGTAGCAATATACATTGGTCATGATACCTTAAAACAGCAATTTTATTCCAATTGCAAAAAAAATTCTTAAACATTCATTATCACTGTTTGCTGGTAACTTTAGTATGAAGATAAGGTACTTGTCTCAAAACTTTTGGTAGCATAAAAGGTACTTTTGGTATGCACTTTCTTTTGGTCATTATTTTAATTATTTATGTTAAAGTTTAAAGAGTACTGATTTTTTTTTTTTCCTTGAGCCTTGGCTTCCTGTGAAGTTTCATCAATTAAATACAACAATAAAGAGTTGTCTATCTTGTCTGAGAACAAAAGAAGGTGAAATATGGAGTCTGGACTTCACAAGGCATACAAGGCCACCTTTCCTAAAACATCTTTTATGGAAGAAAGCAAGATGGCAATTAGATGTCTTTAGAAATATGGCAAATGTATACCTATCCACTGACTCAGTCCTTCCTTGTTTTGCAGACTGTTATCTGTCAAGTTTTCATGATATGAGGCTTAAAGAAATCCTTACTTTCCCAGCCTGCTTGTTATAGTCTCTGCTTTTCTATGCTGTGCTTTTAATGGAAATGTTTGTGTTTACTATGAGCTTACCTTAAACCTTGATTTGAAAGTTAAACATCAACAAGTCTGTAAATTCGTACAGAATTCTCTAATAGCTAACAATGTATTCATTAAAAAGTCCCCCTTTTAAAATTATATGTAGCTTGCTCTGGAAAAGGAGTATAGCTTTAATTTTAAATCTTAGCCAGAGATGTGTGCTTCTATATAGAGTAGCTTTCTCAGTCAAGGAAAATAATATTCTATATATGTTTATATAATTTGAACTACAGTTACTGGGGGTTTTACTTCCCCCTCCCTCGACGCACACTTTACACTTAGAGCAAAAAGTCCTTGAACTAAATCTCATTTTTTTCCCCCTTCACAGAATTGATGTAACTGAAGTTCAGATTGCCATAACAGTGCTGCTCTTGATATCTGGCTATGGAGGAGCAGGAATATGGGACTATAAGGTGAGTGTGTTAAGTGCTCAGAGTTCCTGTTGAGAAATACTGTGTCCACTGTTCCTGTGGTATTTGAACCTGCTCTGTGCAAGTACCGTCAACACCTACTAGTTGTGTAATGTTGTAGCTTATTGTATAAGCGTAGGTTATTTTAATGTCATCGTTAACTTAGATCTATTGGTGTGACTCCCTGGGCACTGATTTATAGCTACGTAGAGGGGAAAAAGACCCCATCTGCCACATATAAACTTCAGATCTGGAACTATTGCTCCACATGTACTTAGGCTTTAGCAAATAGTTTTTGTTCTGGTTTTATATATTTTGCATATTTTATTTTAAGGCATACATTTCAGTTAAACGATTTATCTTAAATTTTAAGGATTAAATGCTTCAATTTAATGAAACCATGGGATAAAGCAAGGGGGTTTTGCTTAAGTTATCCATACTTGTGTCAATACAGATGTACTGATTTTTTAAGAATTGTCACAGCCATGTAAATGTAAGTATTTATATTTAAAGCATTTTTTCTGTCCCAAAACTTTTCCATATCTCTGGCTTTTATTCTGATCTTTAAAGATACACTTTAGTGGAGAGTATCAAAAGATCTTCAACCTTTCTAGGACCTTTACTCAGAAATTTTTAGTTCTGATTGGTTATAGTGCAAAGAGCTGAGACTTACCTTTCCATACTATTGATAACCAATAGAAATTAACCTAAATACAAACCAACAAGAAGTGAAAACTAGTTCAAAAGTTTATTCAGCAATTAAGGAATGTTTAGCTAAACTTTGTTCCCCTTTCCCAGCCTTTTCTTTTTTTCTATTTTCAAAAAGCTTGTTTTCATGTTGGAAAACAAAGTAGCTGCACTAAACTTAAATTATTATTAATTTTTTTCCTCACTATTGGAATCTGTTGGAGTTATGCTGTATCTCAAAAAAATTATATATTCAAAAAAATACGGTAAATGGTTTCTATTTATGACTTCTTTTTTTAATCCTCTGCTGCTTTTGGAAGTTTCCCTGAAACTGCAATTGATTCCAAAAGGTGACTTTAATTAAAATTTATATCTGGAGACTATTCATGATAGTCTCATGATATACAAAGATACAGCATACAAATAACATGCCAAAACACAGAGCAGGCAGATGGTGTTTGTGTTTCCTGTGGATCAGTGTTGTTTTATCCAGTGGAATAGAAGGAACTATCCTTCTTCCTGCTCCCCTGCCATGGTGACTGATGGCAGTAGTCTGTGTCACGTTTTGCTTATGTGATGAAAATACTTGAATATATTAAGGAGGAGCAGAATAAGATCTAGCTGAATTTCAAGAAGAGAACTTAAGTAGTCAGTTAGGACTTAGTTAAGGAAACAAATTTTAAACACTGTTGTCCTGAGCTTGTTTGCAGGAAAGTGAGGGTTCAAATAAAACATTAGTCTAGTAGGTAAGAGTGGCTGCTTTAATCACTTCTTAAAAAAGGTGTTGTGTGCTTAACTTTTAATATCTTTGTTTTGTTTTGTTGTGGTTTGTTTTTTCTTTTTTTGGTTTGGTTTCGTTTCTTTTGTGTTCTGTTAAGGTCCCTTTGCTGGGCTTAGAACTGAAGTTCTTTGCAGTTATTGGCATCCTGTGTGGAACAGCACTTTCTTTTTTCAATTACTTCCGTGTCATCTTTGGTGGAGGAGTTGGAAAGAATGGATCCACAATAGCAGTAAGTTGCTCTAAAAATCCAAATGAGGTTTGAATCATTTATGCCCATAATTTACTGTGTTTCAGATGATCCATAAGGGTTCTATTTGTTTAAGCATTTAAGCAGACAGGCATGTGAGTGTTAGATGGCTAAAGCAAAGTTCATTATCTACCTTCTCTCTGCCTGTTACTGGATTTCTTGTGTCATGGGAACCAGCAGTGAATTTTCTTAAAAAAACTGATCAGTGGTCACTGCAAAGGGTACTAAGAGCAGGGGCGTAATACTAATGGATTTTGACAAGTTTTGACAACTCTGGTTTTGTTTACTAGGATTTGCAATTTGTATAAAAATTGGACTTTACTGTGTGACCGAAGTTTAAGACAAATTTTCCATCCCATTATATCTTAGGGAACAAGTGTTCTTTCACCAGGCCTGCACATTGGACTGCTTATCACACTGGCCATTACAATTTATAAAAAGTCTACAACTCAGCTGTTTGAAAAACATTCTTGCCTGTATGTCTTGACATTTGGGCTTGTGAATGCCAAAATCTCACAGAAGTTGGTGGTAAGTCAGTCCTAAACCTCCTAAAACTAAACTGGTTCTTGGCTTAACACTTACTGGATCAGGGACCACTGTTTTCCCATTTTGCTTTGCTACTGTATTACCAGATGCATTGTGATCAAGACACTGAACTAGACTCATGTTCCACAGAGAGATACTATGTGACACTGATGCAAATACATATTTGCTGTTGAATGGACTGATTAGGACTTTCAGTTTTGTTTAACTTATTCCTAGAAGTGCAATTACTGTCTGTCGTTAACATCCCAGCTGTGGTCTCTTAAGCCTTACTAACAGTATTGTGACTTCTCATTTAATTATCTGAAATAAGAATTTACTGTGATCATTAAAATGAAGAGAGAAACTTTTGTCTCAATTCTGTCTTTTTTGTACATAAAACACTCTTCGATGGATTAAAAAAAGCTGCCTTGCTACATATCTGCTAACATCAGTAATCCAGCCAGATGCTTTTTTTCTCCAAGGATGACATTTTTCAAACACTAGAAAATAGGTATTCTACAGACTTTTACTAAACAGTGAGAATAAGTGTTGGCACCTAAGAAAAGATCTGCTCCTCAGTTAACTTTTGGCTAGGGGAAGCCAAAATTTTCAAGTTAGACTTGAAAATAATATTTCCAGTGGATAAAAACAATATTTCAAGTGGATAGTACTTGTTTTCAGTAATACACTTGCATAGTCTTACTGTTTGACTACAGTGCTGGAAAACTAGAGAGTGGGGAACTGAAATGCATGGGTATAGATGTCCAAGAGGATATTGCTGGGCAAGGATGTGATGCCTGTTTGCTTGTAGTTACACCAGTCTTGCAGGGATGCACTTTTAAATTTTTTAATTTTTTTTAAACATAGGTGGCTCACATGACAAAAAGTGAAATTTGTCTTCAGGACTCTGCATTTATTGGGCCAGGACTTCTGTTTTTGGACCAGTACTTCAATAGTTTCATTGATGAATATATTGTTCTGTGGATAGCATTGGTAAGTGTTTTATACTTTTTGTTTGGACTATCCTTTAAGGAATGGATTGAGAATTGTCCCTGCCATTCTGCTCTGCCATTTCTGACTTGCTCGCATTTCTGCTGTCACTGCAGAGAGAGTGCAGGGTACCATGTAAATATGTTTTTGGGAGCTGACTGTATTGCTTTTCTTGGAACAGAGATGTGAGAGTAAATTTATCAATCTCTCCTGAAATTATGCTTTAGTCCATGTGGGTTTTTTAAACTCGTTTTGTGAACTGTGGACAAACTTTTTTTTTAATAAGATCTTTTAAGTGTTTAGTGTTGTTAGGATGTGGGCGTTTGTGATGATTTTATTTGTAATTCTAAACTAGACTACTCTGTAGCTACATGTTACAATGATGTATGTATGTTACACTTGTCACTTGGATAAATTCTGATTAAAGTATAGCATATTCATAGTAGGGATAATTTTTAAAAATGGCATTTTTTTAACCTGTTCTGTTTTGTTCTTTTTAAGTTCATATCGTTGTTTGATATGCTGAGATATGCCAGTGGTGTGTGCCTACAGATTGCCGCTCATCTTCATATACATATCTTCAGAATTTCATCTCATCAAGCTCCTGAGCAGGTTCAAAACCATAATGACTGATTAAATAGGTCAAGGACAAGAGAAGAAACAGTTAGGGGAATGAAGCAGCCTCTCTGTTTTTGGGAAGACAGATTAAGCTTTTGAAGAAAACAGTTTTATGAGAAAATTCACTCTGTTTCAGACATTACCAGATGTTAGAATTAGTAGATACAAATTCTGCAGATGCTGTTGTACTTTTGAACCAGTATGTATTTCCCTGTGTTTCAGACCACAAATACTACATTTGAAAATATTGCCATTTCCTGTAAGGTAACTTTAATTCTGCACTTCTCTTCTGGTGAATGCAGATGCAAACCAAGGTGCTACCAACCAAGAATTTGAAGAGGAAGTTCCTGTTTCCCTAATCCAATTGTCTAATCTTGTAGCATTAGTTTCTAAAATTTTGTTGGAACTGCTCTGAAATGGTTGTCAGATGTACCAATGAATTCAATCCTGCATTAAGACTGGTAAAATGAGGCAGCCACGAGGGTAAAAATCACTCAATCTCTCTTCTGGTACTTCTAAGGAACAAGCTGTTGGATCAGTAGATAAAGGAGGTACAGCTCTGAAAAAATTTCTTCTACTTCAAAGTACTGTTATGAGTGCCTTTAGAATTCATGTGTTCTCCAGTATCTAAGTATATAACCTACTGCTACCACATAAAACTTCAGCTTGTGCTTTCTTCCGAGGCCAGTTTCTAGTTTTGTGGTCATAGTGGTCTCATTGTGCTTCATCCTTATCTACACTAAAGTGTAGAAGAGTGTGTAAGAAGAGGACTCTAACTTTAGGCACCCTAACTTGTATCTGTAAACCTATGCAAGTGAAGGACAAAGTTAATTGATAAACTTCAATGCCTGTGGCTCCAGCACTGCAGCCCACCATTCTTTATTTCCCTCTGTGGTGCTTTTGCTATCACTGTGTTCGTTTCCCTTACAATTAATCCTATTATCTCATAGCTACCACTGTACTTTATCCAAACAAAAGAGCACAAAATGGAACCATAATGCAAAACTCTCCAAAACAGGAACTCAGGGCCAATATCAGCCTCTCTCTTCCTTCAAGAACCTACTGGGTAACATAATATGTCAAACAAGAGGGCTGTAACCATTATAGAAAAGCTGAATTAAAGTAGCTCGTTATCTGTATGAAAAAATTACTACTTGCACACAAACCTTATAAGCTTAAGCTCCTTTCAAGAGGTACTATTTGAATATGGTTTATGTAAAAAGCTGTTGAATGTAAGTGTGCATGACTCCTTCCAGTTGCTGATATGTACCTGAGTTCCGAGTTAATGAAGTCCTTCCTGAACCATCCAATAAATTATGCCATGGTTTGTTTTAAAAATACTACCACTGCAACTTCCTAACTGCTTATTCATTCAAAAATATTTCCTGAGGCATTCAAGGAACTTTTAAAGTGGTGTATTGTCTGCTGGATCTGGAGGGAATAAAGTAGCATCCACTGCCCTCCTAAGAAGAATATAATGATCCTTTTGAGGGATAACTGTAACAGTTACTGCTGAAGGACAACTGGAAGTGATTAATATCCATTCAGAATGAATCCTACTACTCCTGTTAGAGGAGGGAAATGGCACAGCATCTGCACATGAATTTAGCCTGAACCCAGGCCATGGCCAAATAGATGGTAATGACCATTTACTTTAGCTGAATACTGTAAGCAAACTAACCTCCTGATGAAAAGACACAGGCAACGTCTTTAGACTGAAATGACTGGGTTCTCCACAATGGTCAAAACTGTGTCCTGGCATAGTAGGTATAAGCAGTATCAAGGATACGATTGAGGTATGTGGATAATAGGAATCTAATGGAGAAATCAGTCAGAAAACCAGAACCATGACTGAAGACTAATAAATAAAACCAGAACCAGGAGGTAATGCTTACAGATAATCTTCCATTGAAGATCTGAAGCAAAACCTGTCACCTATTTCATAGCCTCCTGCAATTGTCCTTAGAGGGCCAAGACTGAGTAATCACAAATCAGCATTATTACTGGTTACCATAAAGTTACTGCAAGTTAGCCATCACTAATCTGGGGATGGAGAAGAAAAATATGGTTTTGAAACACAATGTTGTGAAAACATCACATTTTGTGTGTGTGGGTGCGTGGATGGTTTGTTTTATCTATGTTGTATTAAAGCATTAAATATGTTGGCAACTACTTAATTTTTAAAAGTAGATATTCAGGCATAATAGTTTTCTGTAAAAACAAACTGCATGCACGCTAAGCCAAACTGTTTAGTTTATACTTATTTATTGTAACAAGATACATTAAAGACAAATGCTTTGGCCTTAAAACTCAGGCCTCTCTAAATTGCTAGTCATTTGGAATTGCAAAAAGTAATATTCCATCTTAAAGGCTTGTTATAGCCTGTACTAAATAAATGAGGTAGGTTTCTTCTAGCACTGGTTCTACAAAAAGTAGACCCCAAAATGCATAATGTTTAATTATTGTTACTTGAGCTGATATAGTAAGCTCATAAAAAAACCAAAAATATTTTCTGGAAAAATTACAGCAGTTTTTATAAATCTCTTACTAATACAAAGATAGTACAATGTCTAGACTAACAAAAGAGTTAACAAAATTTACTTTAATTTACCAGAATACACATCATTAAACAGTTCTATCTGAGCTATGTCATACTCTGTGAATTTTTATAACAGCTAATATATCAGCAGACTAAACGTTGAAACTGTGAAAATCTGCAGCTTGTTAGAAATGCTTCTATTTGCACAATGTACCTAAAGGCCTCAAGTTATTACGTAAAATCTTGGTAATGCATGTTTCATTAATTCTTCCCCTTGTTACAATTTGGTATTAGAAAAAGTGAAACAGTTGTAACAGTCCAATGCTATTGGATGTGGATATGAAATTTTAAAAAATCAGCTGGACAGTGAATAGTTTGGCATCCATACTGCCTCCCAGTAATAAAAGTTTACTAAGATATGCTCTTATAACATTAACAGACAAGATTAGAACAATCCAGGAAGGAGTTTAATAGGAACCTTGAAACATTTAAATCTCAACATCCTTCTAATGCCTGTACTTGTATCATGTTACTTAGGTACAAGTTGCTCTTCCACTGAGCCATCAGAATAACATGGACTGAAGAGACTTGCGAACAGTTGCCATCTCCTGCTGTTGCTGTCACAAGAGAAGGATATAATGCTGAACAAATGCTGTATCAATATGATTCATTTGAATTAAATGAATGTCAAATGACTTTTAATTGAATGTTCTATTTTTGCATTTAAATAACGTCATAGATCTGATACTTACAGTGTCCATCATAATCTTCTTCTGCAACAGCGCCATTTCCTTGCGAAGTTCATTTTGGGCACCAGCCAGAAGACTTTCATTGCTCTTCTCCAGTTCTTCCATGCTCTGAAGTTAAGGATAGTATTAATTCAGAACTCCTCAATGTCAATGAGTTAATTTAAAACAACAAAACAAAACAATCATTATTCCAACTACAATTTAATTTTTACAGTGATCTCAGATAATCAATGAGTTTGTCACAAACTTGGCAGAGGAATCATACAGGACTTCATACTCCAGTCTGCATTCCTATTTAAACACTATGTACCCTGAGAAGAAAATAGTACCCTCCAGTCAGCCTCTGTGAGGTCTCAGCTACTTATTCTGCATTTCAATTAAGATAAAAGTTCTACAAGAGGAGATTGAACAGACATCTGTCAGGAATTCTAGGGGTTCAATATTATGATAACCTTGTGGGACTTGAAGTGAGGAGTATAAACCCCACTATGTTTCTTTGCACATTTCTCCCCAAATAAGCCAAATAAAACTCCCTGGTTATCTTCCCTTTTCTGCATAAAATTACGCTTGCCTCTGTGTATGTATCTAGTTGCATTTTCCTTAATTTGTATTTGTTTTTGCTTTTTTGAGGCTTTACTTCTATCTTTTGATTCTCTTTGAGGAGAAAAAATAACACTTGACCTTTTGTTCAGTTTTTCCTCTTTGATGAAGACATTTTTGACATTTTGGAACAATTATTATTTATTAATGCTTCTGTAATATACTCAGTAAATTCTGACTAGTTTAAACTTAGAGTTGCTCCATTTCAGATTTATTTTTATCAACTACCAGGCTTGAAAAAAACCTAAATCAGACACCAAGCTTATCATAACTGAAATTTCAAAACCAGCTAGGAAATTAATTGAACTGAAATTAAGGTTTGTCAGAAACTGACAGACTTCAGTCTGCCCCATATACTGGGGGCCATGCAGCTGGTGAAGCCACAGCTGGAGTGCTGGGTCCATTTCAGACTCCTGAGTACAGGAGAGACATGGACATACAGGATAGAGCCCAGCAAAGGGTCATGAAAATGATTAAGGCACTGAAGCTTTTCTTTTATGAGGAAAGCCTTTAACTAAAAAAGTAAACATTTTTTGTGGTTGTACTCAAAACAGGTTTTTTTGCTTGCTATCTAGTATGTTAGTTACTTTGTTAAAGAAATACCAAACAAAACATTGAACTAATACAGCTTTCTTAAGTGATATGATAAGGATCAGCTGCCTTCCAAGAAAAAGATTTACCTTTAAGAATTGCTCATAGAGTTGCTTAATGGTTTTCAGTCTCTGACTTTGAACTATTCTTGCCTGTTGAAAAACTTTTTGTTGTTGACGAAGCATATTCTGAAGCAGAAACAAAAGAAAACCATAATTGCATCAGTTGTTAACCAGAGTGCTTGGACAGCAGACCAATGTAATTTTTCAGATTTAGAAATTCTGCCTTCCCTGGAAATCTGTGCCTTGTTATGTGGCTATCTGCCTGGAGAATTACCCTGGCTCTTACTAGCAAAAGTAAGACAGGAGACTAGATTAAGCCCCAAGTCACCTCCTGAGGTCTCTTGCAACCTGAATTATCCCTGTAAAATCCCATGAGGATTGCTATGCCCCACAGCTTCTTAGGGTTTCCCAGAAGAATGTG